TCCTCTTCGGACCACAATGCGAGGAACTGTTTCACAAGATCTACTACAAGACAAAGTTCTACTCCAGGATCTGTCCTCCTAGATAGTCCTATTCTTCCTTACACTATATCTCCTCTTTCTACTGTTCTCTGGTCCCTGTCTTATATAGTTCTTCTCTTGTTCTCTACTCACTATCTTGTACACTGTTAACTTGTTTTTACTCTAGCTCTTAAACTAACTCAGAACGAGAGCTGTTCCGGAAGTGGGGCTTCTCTTTAAACTATCTCTTGTAAATTAGCGCACTTTCATTTACACCCCCTGTAGCCTAGGGCACCCCCCTAGCGTCATTTGCCCAACACTGGGACTTTTAGGACCTAGCCCACGCGAGTTAGATTCAGCCTGAAGTTAAATAGCAATAAATAAATAAATGGATATGGTTACAGTAGGCGCCTACAAGCATTAACGAAATTCTGTTTTTTTACATGAAGTATAATACTAGCTCATTTACAACTTGCTAACAGTTTGGGATAGAACGTAATAAATGAACTATCTATAAGCCTAAAAACAAAAATGAAATTACAACATATTGTACATAACAAATGAGGGTATATGAATCTTGTTGGTACGACCTGGTGGTCGTGACGACGGCGAATACGGGATTCAGGTCACCTTCTCTTTGGAGGTAACTAAATCGGTGTATTCATTTGTTCGTGAAGAGTAAAGGTAGAGAGATGTGGTGCTCTACGAGCTTAAGTATGTGAGTGGCAAGCCACTCACATGACACCAAGCATGTAGAACCACCAAGCTCTCGTACGAGGTGCTAATCACCATAATTATATACCGACAAATCTGGCCAGCCAGTCTCTCAAAGATTAGTATCGATCAATCGCCCTGCAATCTTAAAATACTCACAGTCCTATTCAAACCCAGTCTTCATTTGCCATCACTAATCACACAGGACTCCTTCCCATTTTCGCCTTCTCAGATCAAGCAAATGTGGGCCTCCTTTAAAAGCTCACAAGCTTACTCTTCCCCAAAATCTGCCCCGCCAACCCCTCAATACTACCACTACTCAGAAGTTCAAGAACCTGCAACTGGCTCTCAAACTCCCTCGTAATGTAGTTTCTCACCTCAATCGCGACCAGACTATCGAGAGCATAGGCACTCAAACTCTTCTGTCTATCCATATCTTCCTTTTCCAACATTAGGAAACCTGGAAGCTTATCCATCAATCCTGCTACAATAACTTCCTTCGCCACATCCGCACTCGTACTATTCTTAAGTAACGTATGGAATGATACCACTGCATCAGGATCGGAGGAAGCCGCGACGGTTTCAGCGTATACACTTTTGAGGTGCGAGAACTTTGCGTCATGCAGCCAAAAGGGCGGTGGAGTGCATAGACGAAGACCTGTGAGAGTGTGGGAGTTGCAGCCAGTGAGGCGGTTGGTGACTGCAAGATGCAGCAGAGCGAGGACTTCGGCTTCACAAATCGTGTCACTGCCCAAGTTCTTGGCTACTTCAGCCGCCATGGCAGCGTTTTCAGCGAGATGTCCTACGTCAGAGACGGCTGTCAAGTCGATTGAGGTGCTGGGAAGGCCGAGACGAAGACGGTATTGAACGAAGGCGTTTAGGAAACAGTTGGCTGCCGAATATGCGCTGTGTTGGTTGTTAGCATTCGTTTACTTTGGAAAGCATGAGACGAGAAAGGCTACTCACGCTTGTCCTCGATTGCCAACTGCACCGGCTGCAGAGGAAATTGCAACAAAGAAGTCGAGAGGTATGCCTTCAAGTGCGTTGTGGAAATTCCATGCACCAGCAACCTTAGACTCGATGACCTTGGTGTATTGTTCATACTCCATTTTCTCGAATAGAACATCCTACAAAAATCAGTCCCAGTGTTGGTGAAAAGGAGGGAAAGGAGGAAACCTACATCCAAAACCATTGCACCATGAACTACACCTTTAACCTGGGGAAATCTAGTGAATCCAGTAGTGATAAGCTTCTCGACCGAGGCCTTGTCGGCTACATCGCACGGTGCTACGACAACAGTAGCTCCGACAGCAGCAGATTCATCAATCAAATCCTTCACTTTGCCAGCCGCCGAACCAGTTCTGGACACAAGCACAATGGTCTTAGCACCATTCTTGACCATCCACCTAGCCATACTACGCCCAAGACCGCTCGTGCCGCCTATCAGGATATATGTAGCATCTGATTTGAGTATTGCGCTGATTTTGGTTGAAGGAGTAGCCTGAGAATTGTCAGCATGGAATCATGTTAGGTATGGGGGAAAAGGGAAAATATGAACCTTGACCTCGTCTCCGGGTTGCGGTGCGACAATTAGCTTGCCCGCAAGATTCCCAGATTGCATTGCTCTGAAGGCAGTTTCAATGTCAGAGATTGGGAACACTGTTGTAGAACAGGCAAGAGTTATCTCATGGCTTTCTAAGATCTTGGAAACATCTGAGACAAGGCGGCCTAATATTTTTGGCCGCTCTGTCGCCATGGAGCCTAGATCAACGGACAAGAAGCTCTTATTCTTTTCGGAACGAGAACTCTCAAGCCTCGAACTAAAATCGCCCTGTCCAGCTTCGACAAGACGTCCGAAACTGCTCAGAGAAGCCCATGTATCTCTCAAAGTATTCGCATCTGCAGGGAGAGTGTTGAACACGACATCGAAATATCCTCTCTTTGTCTGTTGGCAGATAGCGTGAGTTGATAATACGTTGTCGGCAGGGAGACCGTAAGAATCAATGAAGGTTTCTGCGTTCTCAGGGTTCCTGACTGCAATGAATACCTCAGCACCAGTCCGGCAAGCAAGAGAGATTGCTGCATGACCAAATGCACTTTCCGCGCCATTTATCAAGACTCTTTCATCCTTTTCGAGTCGTCCAAGATTATATAACCCATACTGGGTAGTGCAGTAAGCTACTGGAAGAGAAGCCGCTGTCTCGAAGGAAATGTTATCGTTAATCTTGAAAGAGAATGCTTCTTTTGTGCGAGTGTAACTTGAATAAACACCCCCAGATGTTGAAATTGCAGCAACGCGATATCCAACTTCAATTGCGGAGACGCCTTTTCCAACGTTGGTAACGATGCCGCTACATTCCATGCCAAATTCAAGTATATCCAATTGACCCATTGCTGCACAGACATCTTTTTCGTTCATGCCAATAGCCTTGACTTGGATTTCGATCTCATCGTCTCCCAATGGCTCTTCCCGTGGTTGATCTTCAAAGTGAAGCGTTTCGAGGGAGCCAGGAGTGCCAATTACCAGCTTCAGTGGCCGGTCTTCTTGCACGAATGGCGTGGGTTCGAGAGACGCCTTCGTCTCCTTGTGCACAAACTCATTCGTCTCCGAGTCATTGATGATCCGCGGGGTAAGGAAGGCGCCCTTTCTCTCCATGAACTCCAACTCGCAATTTTCCGAGGCATCCTCACCAAAAGTCGCCTTGAACACTTTGAGGATTGCTTTGACGGCACTGTCATCCGGAAGAACACATTCGGCGTCCATGTCTAAAGTTGCGAACTTAAGCAAGGTCTCGGAACGAATAGTTCTGCTCAATCCGGTGACCATATTCGCATCAGGATTACTAGAATTTGTGTAAGCACCACGTACAACCCACAGGATTCCTTGAACATTGGTCAGAATCTTCTGCAAATGTGCGAACTGTTCTTTGGTGAGCGACGAAAGCAAGTTTATGTCCAGTTCGTAGATGAAGAGACACAGTCGTCCGTTAGTATCAACGTCCTTTAGCAGACCTGTCTCGGGCCTGGCACTAGTAAAATGCTCAAGTGCATCAGCCAATTTACATGCAAGAGTGGTCTGAGCTTCTGACTCCCCATGAACGATTGTCACTTTTTCAAGTGGCGATTTACTGACTACGTCTGGTTTTGATAAGTCGGTGGATACACCATTCGTAGTGCCGTCAGCATGTCCATTTGTTTTGGGGACGCCGTTTGTGACGCCATGGGACATTGAAAAGTCGACTGGTTCAAGTATTGGCTCCCAATTCAGTTTGAAGCACAACTCTCTGTGAACCTCGGACTCAGAAACCATGTCCCTTTCCACAATGGGCTGTATCGTCAAATCATCCAATACAATAAGCGCTTCTTTGGTGTTGTCTGTAGAAGTGGCAAACATTGAAACCTGGATTGCCTTAGGATGTGAGGGGATGACAGGACCTTTGCAGAATGCTCTGAGACTATCCCCAGGTGTTTTTGTGGCGGTTGTAATATTTCGAGAGATAGTCATACGCCCAATGGACGAGGCGAGGTACACGGTATCGAGAAGTGTTCTTCCTGAGCCCAGAATAGGCCAGTACATATCAATCAATTGCTCAAGTAGAGTTGGATGAACAATAAATGGCGTCTGGAAGCCTTGTGGCATCTCATGTGTAGTATCGACAACAGTGATATCTGCCTTGGAGCATCGAACATTTGCTTCGCAGTTATTGATTCCCTGGAAGCTAGGCCCATAAGATACCCCGAGATCAGAAAGAGAATCGTACATTTCCGATTCGTCCACAGGTGTGGTAGCACAGCTATCAATTTCCGAGATAGAGGATTGAAGAGTTCTTTCGAATTTTCGGGCTTGAGCGGTGCCAATGTCCTTGGTTTTAACTGTAATGAAGCCTTTGCAATGCTCTGTCCAACCTTTATTAGCGGCCCACGAATGTATCCGAAATTCGTCCCAGGTAATAGAGGACGCAGTAGTGCCTTCCTGATGAGGGCGAAGTTGTAAGGTCATCTCAACATCCTCGTCAGTCACCATCAAAGGCGTGTTGACGGAGACATCTCGCAATTCAAACTCGTCAAATTCAATTCCATTCGATACCGCTCTTTGATAGGCAGCTTCCACTGCCATAGATAGAAATCCTGCCATTGGGAAAATGATCAAAGAGTGGACCTTGTGATGCCGGAGCCATGGAAGATCGTCAATACGCAGGATGTTTCTCCAAGTTGGCTCCATATCATTAGAGTAATTGGCCAATGCACCTATAAGATCATGACGCTGTACAGTGCGACTTCTTTGCTTTAGCATCATCCGAGGCTCATGCCAATACTTTGTTTGATGGTTCCAAGGGTAGCGAGGCATATCGACAAGCAGAGACGGTTTCTCGGAGGACCTTGGCGTATTTATCTCGCCAAGATCAAGGGTTGCTCCTTTGACGAAGAGTGTTGAAGCCATGGCAAGGGCAGTTTCAACGGCATCCTTCTTTCTGACGAGCACGGACGTATAAGGTATTTTCATCGCGTTTCCACCGCATGCCTTGAGGATTTGTTTGACCGGACCACCAAGAGCAGAGTGCGGTCCAATCTCGATGAGCATGTTCACGCCGGTTTTGTGACCATCAATGGGCTCACACATGCTTGTTAGAGCCTCTGAAAACCGGACAGGCTGGGTGAGATTATCAACCCAGTAAGAGGGAAGGAGCGTTGTGCTGTCAATAAGTTCTCCGTGTAAAGACGAGTGAAATCTCACATCCGTCGGCTCTGGATCATCAAGTAATTCGAGTGAGGCACGATACTCCTTCGCGACGTTCATCATGTGATGAGAGTGGTATGCAACGTCGACTACAAGCTTTCTGTTGAAGATCTCTTTTTGCTCCAACAAAGTCTGGAACTCGTCTACAGCAGCCTGGTCACCCGAAATAGTAAGACTGGACGGGCTGTTGAAACATGCGATTCTGGCGCCTTGTGATTTCAATCCTGACATAAGTGGCTCGATGTCCTCTTTTGAGCCTCCGACAGCCATCATGGACCCTTTGAGCTCCGGAAAGTTCTTTTTGAGTGATATGGTTGCTAGACCTCTATAATACGAAATTGCCATACATGCACCCAAACTTAACACATCAGCAGCATACGCAGCTCCAATCTCCCCTTGTATCTGTGAGTTTATGCAAGTAATCATAGAACAGACATAACTTACCAGAAGAATGCCCAGTCACAGCGACTGGCGAAATACCCCAGCTCCTCAATAAGTCGGTCAGAGCAAGCTGTATTGCTGTACATGACGGTTGACTAATATGGGCCTCATTGACAAGTGATGACTTTTCATCTTTGCTCAATTCCTCTGCACACGTTGTATTAGCGTATATTTGGATTTCCGGCGACAGTATACATACCTAATAAGGAGAATGACGCGCCAAACGCCGCTAATTCTCTATCGCAAGCATCTATCGTAGAGGCAAAAACAGGATATTGTTCATAAAGTTCTCGGCCCATTGCGTTCCACTGAGCTCCTTGGCCTGTAAAGATGAATCCAATCCTGAGGGGTTCAGTCTCCCTTACGGGGGTCACCTTTCCACTACCCAGTGCCTCTATCAACTCAAAGGATGAGGAAGTCGAGATAGCGACTCTCCACTGAAAAAGAGATCTCCTCTGACCCAGTGTGTATGCGACATTTCTCAGCAAATCGTTTTGAAAGATCTCTGGCCTCTGCTCGAGATAGATCCCAATATTTTTCATCAGGGCCTCGCAAGCTACTTTGTCGTTGGCTGAAAGAACAAACAATTTTCTTGCTTGCTCAACAGATTCCGGTGAATCACGGGCTACCTCTTCTAGGAAAGGAGCTCGCTCCATCACGACATGAGCGTTTGTCCCCCCAAATCCGAAATTGTTGATACTTGCGTATTTCTTCCCTAAAGGCCACGGCCTCTGGCTGATTGGAACCTAATACCATTAACTTCCACGAACAATGCTTCCTCTTATTTCTCTCGACTCACTTTCAGGTGCCATTTGGTAAATGGTATGTTCTCGTTCCCTTTCTTGAAATCATAATTAGGGAGAATGAAGCCTCGTTCAAGCATCAGTGCAGTCTTTATCACCGAAACGATACCTAAGCAAGCCGTTCAGCGATTGAATGAGGTTAATGGACAGAAAAAATACTTACCACTTGCAGCTTCCAGGTGTCCTGGTAATTATCGATTAGCCCAATTTTCATTCTAGACGAGCCTAATAAGAAGTGGATGGAAAACCTCCTTATGAATACCGCATTACTTACCTATGTTAGACTTCACGGATCCAATGAAAAGCGGATTTCTCGCGGTTCGGCCCTCACCAAACATATTGTGTAATGCAGTGGCCTCGATAGGATCACCTGAACGTGTAAATAGATAGCCCGAAAGTGCATTATATTTTACATACCGACTTTAGTACCGGTCCCGTGAGCCTCCACATAGCCGGTATCCTTCGGGTCAAGACTAGCAATTTTGTAGACGGATTTCATAAGCGATTCTAGTAATGTTAGCCTCTTTCTATCCCATCACCCACGCCGCCAAAAGCAAATTTGCGTTCCATACCTTGTGCCGACCCATTTGGCATGGTTATTCCAGGAGTTTTGCCATCCTGATTAATACCACTGCCGAGAATTACGGATCTGATGACATCATTGTCTTTCAGAGCTTGCTCGAGTGGCTTCAGAATCACAATTCCACATCCTTCGCCTCGTCCATATCCTGTGCCTCTGCTGTCGAAAGAAAATGATCTCCCTTGGTCTGAGAAAAGTCTGGACATTGACATGGATATCCATAACTCAGGCAGGGTGTTTAGATGACAACTCCCAACAATGGCGATCTTGGATTCCGAATTTCGCAAACTCTGGCAAGCCTGATGTAGGGCGACTAAGCTAGATGAACAAGCCGTATCCATAGTGAAACTAGACCAACTTTAGCTTAAGCGTAAATGGGAATTTGGCATGTCTACCTAGGCCCGCGGAGATCAAAGAAATGGGATAGTCTATTAGATTGCATTGCAAATGCACAGCCTTGAAGAATTAGTCCAAGAAAAAAACAGGATAATGATAAAGTCCCCTACCACTGGCTTGATACATCGGGATGCTGTCCGAATCTGCGAAAGCTTGTGATTCATATTCTGAAAACGAGCCACCAACGAAAACTCCAACTTCTTTCCCCACAATCTCATGTTTAGGTATACCTGCACTTTCGAGTGCTTCAAATGTACACTCGAGGAGGAGGCGTTGCTGGGGGTCCATGGACGTAGCCTCTTGCGGGGTGAGACTGAAAAAAGGCGCGTCGAAGAGCCCCAAATCCTCTTTCAAAAAGTTACCCCCAGCCGCATTAAAACAACCTCTCTTCCCCGGATTTGGGTGGTAAAAGCTCGCATGTTCAAATCTCTCCTTTGGAACCTCTGACCATCCCGTTCGCGCTCTTGAGCATAATTCCCAGAATTCGTCGGGGGTTGTTACATTGCCTAAGAAGAGCTAAGTGTGAGGGGAAGAAATCGGATTGGCTGGCAATGGAATCGTACCTGGAAGCCTACAACTCATACCCACGATCGCAATCGGTATTTGTCTTGTTCCTTCACTTTCATATCGTTTGATATAGCCATCTGTATATCCATGGGTATAAGCATCTGTGTATGTTCTTGTTGTTCTGGGGCTGAAGAGCTGTTCAGCGTGGGTGTATGGAGGGGCCCGTATCCCTTCCAAAGGCATATTTCGAGCACTGCTCGCCCCCTCCTCGTTCGTGTTGATTGCTGAAGGTGCCATTACAATGCTTATGGCCACCAAAACAGGCGGAACGACCTCAATTTAGATGAAATCTGCCGGCTCAAGTACAGAGGCGTAGATCATAGCTGCTGCTAAGAAAACACATGCAATATTCAGAAATGTGTCCTGCCACTCCCTCGGAGGTGTTTACACAGACAAATGTTTCAATCCTCGGGAGACGCCCGCACGTCGAGCCAAAGCGAACCAATCCTTGAGCTAACAGCTACTTGAAGCTTAGACTAAGGGGTGAGGGGCGAAAGAACAAACCCGGTATCGAGAGGCAAAAGAAAACTGCAATGCGATGGTGAGGAGCCAAGATCCGACTAGTAAAGATGGGATTATTGAGTTCTTCCGTTATTCAGGTACTACCTGGCCGCCTGAAGAATTGCTAGTAAAAATATGAGGATTTTCATTCTCCGGTTTGGTTCCAGTTTCTGAATCTCCTCTCATCTTTGAACCATTACTTGATACTGCATTGGGACTGGTACAGTATGGGAATTCGACTAATTTTGACACCTGTCGTTCGAAATCCCCATCATCGAGATGAGATCTCCCAAGTGACAATATCAAGACTAGATCGTCAAGGAACCCTCCCCCAAGACTGCCATAAGTATACTTGGTGCAAAGAAGCATATCAAAAGTCCCTAGTGTAAGGGGCGGGAAAGAGGCATCCGGGAAACACCTGGATCATTCCGCAAGGATCCCGATGTCCGCAGTCAGCTCAAGTACAGTAGCACACACACAAACCTTGTTGCAGCTTGGATTTCCATTCTTGCAAGTACAGCACTTTGTAGTACAGTCCCTCCCCAAAGGTAGCAAGATGCTGGGGTACCAAGTAGTGTATTTTAGGTTATTTTACAGGGTAATTGGTATTATTTGCTTATTCTCGCGGGTTATGCGTTCACAAAACAATGGACTGTGTGAGTACTTGACAGTGCAGTGGCTCCACTTTCTTGTCCACCGGGAGAGTGGCACCGGTGTAACTGCAGTGGACATAGACACGCACAGTGGGTGCTCGAGGACTGTACTGCACGTTGCGGGGAGCTGGGCCGGGGACCGAAAGGCGAGGTGGTGATGGAGGTGGTAGGTGCGGCGGCAAAGCTCTAACCAGAAGAAACATGAAACGGTGACCTGACGGATGCTTTGCTACACGGCTGTCCTATGGTAAAGCTTGGGTAGCTTAGCATCATCCCTTAATCACGTGAGAATCCAGCTCGCCTAGGAACCCCTTACCGAGACAATCTGGAACTAGGAAAAGATGATTCTTTTTGATTGGCCTTCTAGCCAGAAGAATCGTCGAATGTGGGACTGGCATTAGGTCTGCCAGGCGCGCATAAAATAGAACTCTACTCTACAGCATAAGTGTATACCCATTAAACTTTTCCTGCCTTTTCACCTAGACCAATCCCGATATATATACTAAGTCGTGTTACTGTCTTATGCCCACCGCACGTCAATATCACAAAGCTCCGCAGATGATCAACCCCAATTACAGCATACTACAGTACCTGCACTTCGAAGCATACTAATTCCAAATATTGACAGACTTTGTACTTGGAAGTAAGCTGAAATTCAAAATGATCAGCAGAGGCAACCAAGTCCTGCGTACCAGTAAATGCTCTACATTTCCGAGGTGGCGGTAATAGTACAGTAAAGTACTGTCCTTTCGCAAAAGTAGCAAGACGATAGGATATCATATTACCTAGGTAGACTGTACTGTTCTTGCGAGGCACATACATGCAGCTTGCATGGTTCTTGTAAGCGCGATACCATGCCCAGTCATACACATCAACAAATCACAAAATAAAATGACTACCAATATCAAGTGCTTTTATTGATACTGTACGAGTACCACAAGGCGAACATCACAACCATCACCCTACGGTACAACCCAAGGCTTACAAAAATAAATAGCTCGCGTCTCAAGCCTCGTGATTACCAACACTTCTTTTTCGGTATTTTTCACACTTGCTTCCTACTTCCCTCCCTCTCACCCGACTAGCGTGAGTGCACGTGGCGAATTACAGAATTGAAGACAGAAAGTGTACGAAGGTGGTAAAGCAGAATGTTATCAGCCACTCACAGTGCTCGACTCGTTTTCATCTCTAGCAGCGGCCTTGCAATGAAAGAGGCGTCCGCCGCTGCTACCAGTTTTTATCCCAACGTTTACTCCCTAAGATTTTGTAACAGCCAAGACCTGGTGTATCCTAACGTGCCTCCAGTGTTTCGTCTTGCCAGATTAGTGGCGGTCCCAAGAGACGTGTTTCCACCGTAGCTTCAGGAATAAGCTGTTTGCTGGGTATGATTAAAGGGGGTGGTGCCCTTTCACTCTACTCAAATCGAACTTGAGTCTTGGTGTTTATCTTTGCCAAACTATTTGATGCCTAATTACCCCAATATCTGATTTTCGACGGTCATCTGCTTTCATTAATATATCTACTCTTTCTTTCCATACAAATAAATATATACGTATACACATTTTAATTCAACAACAAACCCAAATCGCCATTATGAGATTCTTGTGTCTGCCTGGAGCATATGGAAGTGCTGATGCAAGTACCATTTCATGGTCATACTCTTGACGCGTAGGCTAATAAATTAATAGAAGTTCAAAGTGCAACTTGGTATGGAATCATTCCTATCCCGTGGATGCTAGGTCTCAAAGCAACCTCACTTACATATCTTTAGCCCCGCTTGTTAAAGAACTACGTTCTGACAACACCGCTGAATTACATTTCATACATGGTCCAGTCGATGCATTTCCACCTGAGGGATTTGAAGACTATTTTGGCCCTGGTCCACATTACCGATTCATTGAGCCACCGAAATCTGCAGGGAGTGGCAGCGATGTGCTTGACAGAATTCGAAATTTCCCTAAGGGCGAAACTGCGGAAAACCAGATGCGAGAACTGATGAGGGGTGAAGGCTCAATTGCCGTCGTCGCTGATCCTGATGATCGCTCTGGCCTAGAAAGCGCACAGTATGCAATGGAATATCTCTTCGACATAATGGAAAAGGATGGCCCATTTGATGGTATTCTAGGATACTCTGAGGGTGCTACCATAGCATCGACCCTCCTTCTGATCGAGCAAAAGAAATTTGAAGAAACTGGTAGACCACCAATGTTCAAATGTGCGCTTTTCTTTGCAGGCTGGCCACCTTTGACCCCAGAACTTGATGGAATTGTTCTAGCAGACGAGTCAGATTTGATGATTACCATTCCCACATGTCACATCAGTAGGTTCAACCTTTTCATACTTACTATCCATGCTAACTCTCTTCGAAGTTGGATCTCTAGATCCCTACCTTGCAGGTTCCGTTGCTCTCTACAACGTATGTGATGGTGACACTGCACATCTATTTGATCACGCCAAAGGCCACACCCTACCACGAGACAAGGAGACCGTCCGAGAACTTGCTGATATCGTACGAAGAATGGCTGCTGATATTCGATGTGATTCTGACTCCGACGCTGGAATGATGTAAGCTCTGGGTGGTGCATACTGGCGTTGGTGTTTCATAAATTGGAGGCTTGGAGATACTCAAACGGGCAATACCTCGTTACGTTTTTTGTATATATCTATCTTTTTTTGCTCACACTGGCTGGCTGTCGCCAAAATAATGTTATGAGATCAGAGATCCTTTTTCTAAAAGCTATCTAACTTTTCTGGATCCTCTTGGCCCCAGTATTTATAATTGTATATAACCCAGGGCAAGGTTACCTAGACTGTTGCCACAACTGGAATATGAGAGTCACGTACGGTCATGTGAATTCTAGGAATTCCACCTGTATACTTGAGTACAAGTATAAGCAAAGTTTTCTCGTCTAATTTAAGCTCCTTCGAGACTTCGGGCGTTTTCACCTACAAATCACTACCATTCTGTGCGCGATAACTGTGAGTTACATTCGGTCGCGGATTACCCGCCCTTCGGCATGGCTACCTACTATCGAAACCAAAACGCGTAACAAGTCCAACACTGTACCCTGCCGTGGTGTTCATTCGATGTACTTCGAAGTACTAGTAAAAAATTGATGGTATCTTTCTAGTCGCCGACTCGGCGCGTAACGATGAGATGTTCTACATCATGAAATTTGTTTCCGAGTGCAACCAATCGACAGGCTTTCACGAAACTTTTCATCCTTATCACAAAATGCTAAAATTAAAATTAGACTGTGCAAGTAGTGTGTCGTTAAATTTGACTTCTACTACTGTACAAACATTGAGATCGACCAAATCGACCAAAGCATAATCGCTACCAGATCTTCTGACCAAGCAGTTCTAAACCGTTGCGTGCGATTGGTCAAGAATAGACGAGCTCTTGGTCATGGCGCGAACTAGTGGGCGATCGCTCAAACAACTCCAACGTCTATCCGTCCGCCTTTTGTCGCTTCAAGTGCTTCATCATGCTTAAAGTATCTTTGGGATTTTTCTTTTCCCTCAGTCTTGAAAAACTTCCGTTCATGAAAAGCATTTTTCTTGTCGCAGACATAGCGTTTTTGACGATGCTTCTCGATCAGGCTCCTAAGAACAGAAGAGATCAACCGAAGATACAACTGACTGTTCCAACTTCATTTCAGCCGACGGTCATCTTTTCCCCACTGGAAGTCGAAACAAACAATTCATTATACTATGGTAGATCCACTCGTACTCGAATCCGGGTTCGCGTGTCTGACACACTTCCATGTTTGGCTAAGTGGTTGGCCCCGTCGCGTAACCGCTATGATCCCAGCCCATGCATATTGGAGCAACTAGTCTGATACATGGTGAGAAGCAATCGAAACACGTTGAATGTTGGTGTTTCTCGAAGTCAATGCAGAAATTGGGCATATCGGCAAAGTTGCTTTAGTGTTTTTTACGCAAGGATTTTGTGGCAAGCGCTATTGAAAAGGTTAGAGATCGAGTTGGGATGTTTGATCAAATTGGAACACGGCCTACAGTGGCGGACTAGTTATGCTCAGAGAAACTGATGGCTCTCAGGTGTGGAAAACCGGACCTTTGTTATCCGATCTTGAAGAAGTAGACAAGAACTTAGGAAAAGAAAGTATCCCATCGACTACATGGCAGAACTCACCAATGTTACCTGTGCAGCCAGAGTATGAGAAGTAGTATTTTTCGACGAATATTGAGGCTCATCGCCTTGAAGGGATCAAAATGATGGCACCACTATCAGAGGGGTCGGCTTCGCCCACCTCGCCAAACTTTGCATCAAATTCAGCAAGTGCTCGACTGTTATCTGAAGATTCTGAGCAAACTGTCGTTGCTGAAGAAGAAGAAGACTTTGTGGCACCGCCTCATAAAGAAGAGAAAAAACTCCTCATCACAGCAGAGCACAAGATAGCGTTCTCCCATTTTCTTGTAAGATATCTCTAGAACCATGTCGATGTATATATTGACAGATTTAATAGCGTATATTTTCATACTCAACTTTGAGTGATAAATTCGTTTTATTTGCTGCTGCGATTGCATCAATATGTTCTGGGGTCACACTTCCACTTATGAATGTCGTGTTTGGTGAGGTTTACATCAATCAAAATATACTTGATCGCTAATTTGTTTTAGGTCAACTCGTTGGTGTATTCGGTGAATATTATAACCCCCAACTTGGCGAAACAAAAGCGATGTTTCTTGCAGCCATCAACCAAAATGTGTAAGATATCTGACAAATCTAGAAGAATAAGAAGCTAACAGCTCATAGGTTATATATGTTATATCTGTTTATTGCTAGGTTTGTGCTTGATTACATTGCCATTGTAAATGACCTGTCTATATATCATAGATTTCCGTTGCTGACTATTATGTAGTTAGGATTTCGTATGGTAAGTATCCGCGTATCTGCGGCAATACGGCTTGTTTACCTGAAGGCTCTCTTTGCCCAACCAATTTCAACACTGGACATCTTGCCACCCGGACAAACAGCAGCTATCATTACCATCACCGCCAGTATTCTACAATCAGGCATCTCCGAAAAGCTTTCCATATTTATCCAAAGCACCACCCTTGTCATCACGACTGTAATCATAGCGTTCCACTACAGCATTATTTTGACTTTAGTAACAAGCATTGGATTAATATTTATTGTCGTATTTTATGTCATGACAATTCCTTACTTAGTGGAAACATGGAAGCACGTTGAACATGCTGATAGGATGTCTTCTTCGGTTGCGAGTGAGGCTTTTAGCGCTATACGTATGGTTGTGGCTTGTGGTGCTGAAGGGAAGATGGCCAAAAAGTATTCGGAGTGGGTTAAGGAGTCAAGAAGGAGGGGTATATTAATGAGTCCTCTGGTTGCTATTCAGCAGGCTCCTGGTAAGTGTAGTTCTCCAGCCTTTGGAGAACGGTTGACTAATTTCTGCATAGTTTATTTTGCTATCAATGCGTGAGTTGCTCCTCTGTCCATAATTTACAACTGAAGTCTTTTTGCTGATCTCAGTAGCACTTTCGCCCTTTCATTTTGGGTCGCCATAAGAATGTATGCAGGCTCCATGATAACGAGTGTCACCACTATGGTAATGTAGGTAGAACATAAGAATACCCCCTCTCAACACCGAATACTATCTGACTTATGATAGTGTATTATCATCCGTTATGTCAATCACGGGGTCTATCGGATGCATTTCAGCTCCAGTCACAGCAGCAGCCCAAGCAGCCGGAGCAGCAAGTATCTTTTTCACCATCATAGATGCGCCTCAACCCAAGACGGAAGGGTTGCAAGCCCCAGATGTCTCATCTCAGGAAGATATCGTTCTCGAGAATGTAAATTTCGCATATCCAATAAGAGCAGATGTCAAAGTTCTGGATAACCTGAATCTCCGCTTCCCTGCTGGAAAACAGACCGCCATTGTTGGGGCATCTGGCTCCGGTAAAAGTACCATAGTTGGTCTCCTAGAAAGATGGTATGAACTTAACGGTAATATGACTGATAATATAATTGTTTGAACCCCTCCCCTGCCACATGAAATTCGGTAATCTAACATAACCAGACCCTCCATTTTCGAAATGGGACAATAAAAGCCGGAGGCCATAATCTACATGATATAGACCTCAAATGGTGGCGCTCTCAAATCGGTCTAGTACAACAGGAGCCATTCTTATTTAACGACACAATATACAAAAACATCGAGTATGGATTGATAGGAACTAAATGGGAGCACGCTTCACGCGTCAAGAAGAGAAAATTGGTGAAAAGAGCTTGCAAAGAGGCTTTCGCTGACGAATTCATTCGTCGTCTTCCTGAGGTACTTCCCCTCTTCCAGCCCCTCTTCTGTTGCCAAGCTGAACTGCCATAGGCATACAATACCCTCGTAGGAAATGCGGGTATTAAACTGTCTGGCGGTCAACGTCAACGTCTTGCGATCGCCCGCAGTATAGTCAAGCAACCCAAAATTCTTATACTTGATGAAGCAACAAGTGCTATTGACGTGCGAGGTGAGAAAATCGTTCAGAAAGCGCTTGATAAAGTTTCCAAGGGAAGAACTACGATTGTCATTGCGCACCGGTTGAGTACTATCATGAAAGCAGACAAGATTGTTGTACTTAAGAAAGGACAAGTTGTGCAGGAAGGGACGCACGCGGAGTTGATGGCTCAGGAAGGTGGTGCTTATTGGGTTTTGGCTGGAGCGCAAAAGGTACTTGGTGACACGAATTTACTGGATGAAAATGGAGAGGGGAGTGGGATGGGAGATCTGAGTGAGAAGGGTGTAATGAACGAGATGAATGAGAAGCAGGTCCAAGTGGAGGAGGAGGACGCCGATATTCATGCTTTGAATGCCAGGCATAGTACTGAGCTTGATGAAATGGACTTTAAGGATTTGGGTAAGAAAAGAAAAGGCTTGTTGGGGAGTTTTGAGCTTTTTCTGTGGGAGCAGAAACCTCAATGGATGTGGTATGCGTTTATGATGGTGGGTGCACTTGGTGCTGGTGGCAAGTCTTCCCTTTCTCTTATGTCCCAATTACCAGAACGCTCGCTAGAGATGAGCGACCGCTAAAGATTGTTATTCCAGGTACCTTTCCAGTGCATGCATTATTGTTTGCAAAACTCATGTCTTTATTCAATCTTCAAGGCGACTACCTCATAAGTCAATCAAACTTCTGGTGCGGCATGTTTACACTTCTTGCACTCGGAACAGGAATTAGCTACTATATCCTTGGCTGGTCATCAAATACCGTCTCTTTCGTGAGTATCTCGCTCTGCTCCCTCTTAATTTACTAATTGAGTCACAGAATATCACCGCAACTTACCGACAGGAGTACTTCCAAAATATCCTTCAGAAACCAATCTCCTACCACGACTTACCTGATAAAAGTATCGGCTCCCTTACTGCCCTAGTAGCCACGGATCCAACTCTTTTACAACAACTACTGGGTTTAAACATGGCAATAGTATGTATCTCTATCTTCAACATCCTAGGCTGTATCGCAATATCGTTGTACTTTGGCTGGAAACTCACATTAGTCACCATCCTCACTGCTATGCCCATCATTCTCGCCGCTGGCTTTTTCCGTCTGAGGTATGAAACGAAGGCGGAAGAGGCGAACCAGGAGGTTTTCAAAGATAGTGCTAAGTTTGCAACCGAGAGTATTGGAGCTATGAGGACAGTAACTGCCTTAGGGTTGGAGGGCACCATTTGTAGGCGGTATGAGCGGCTACTCAGGGGACATGCGGGAGACGCGTGGAAGAAGTCGAGGCTGAGTACGGCGATTTTTGCGATTAGTGATAGTATTAGTTTGCTTTGTATGGCTTTTGTTTTGTGGTACGGGGGGCAGCTGCTTGCTGACTTCGAGTACACCCCTTTCAGTTATTGTGAGTGACTCTTCCGCTTCGTGTTCTGAGCACCTTACTAATGGCGAAAATAGTGGTCGTGTACCTGGCTGTTGTTCAAGGATCCACAAGTGCTGGTCAATCGTTAAGTTTTGGGCCCAGTATTTACTCCTCGTCCATTTCATTGAGCCTGTTCGCTAATCCAATTTCTAGACATCGCCCAAGCATTTGCCGCGGCCGAACGCATTGAAAAGATGAGATCCCATGAAGACGCAGGGAGTATCGAGACTCCACTTGAGTTCGGTGATACAGAAGACAACGAAAAAGGCATCAGAGGAGTCAAGATTGAACTGAAGGATGTTTGGTCAGTATATCTATCGATAGATTTTGAGGTGCAACAAAATTGCTGACATTTCTTGTTAGGTTCCAATATCCCACCCGAGATGTTCCGGTCTTGAGGGGATTAAATATGACTGTAGGTGGATTTTAATTATCAACTTACAAACGTCTAATTCTATGTAGATAGAGAAAGGTCAATTTGCCGCCATCGTAGGGCCATCTGGCTGCGGGAAAACAAGTATAATTTCTCTCCTGGAAAGGTAAACCGGCACCCTCCGCCTCCCGTCTTATAGTACAGCAGAAATGGAAAAACGCTAACCCACCCCTTAAGATTCTACGTCCCCCAGAAAGGCGAAATTCTCTTCGAATCTCGCCCACTTCCAACGATATTAATAGCTCCATATCGTTCCCACCTTTCTCTCGTGTCTCAAGAACCCTCTCTCTTCACTGGAACTCTACGATCTAACATCCTTCTGGGAGTGCCTTCTTCTCCTTCCTCGCCCACCTCCAACTCCTTTCCATATTCGTCAGAACCAGAGCTTACACCACTATTTGACCACAACCACGCAGAGACTCTTGATGAAACTCTGGAGAAAGCAGCAAAGTTCGCTTCACTCCATGAATTCATCTCTTCTTTACCAGAAGGATATGACACCCAAGTAGGAACAAACGGACTCGCATTATCTGGGGGACAGAAACAGAGAGTCAGTATCGCCCGAGCTTTGGCTAGGGATCCCCGGGTACTTTTGCTCGATGAAGCGACTAGTAACTTGGACGGAGAGACAGAAAGGGAAGTTCAGAGTATGCTTGAGGAAAGAGGGAAGGGACGGACGATGGTAGTTGTCGCACATAGATTGGCGACTGTAATGAGGGCCGATGTCATTTTTGTTGTCGTAGATGGACGGGTTGTTGAGAAGGGGAGTCATCAGGTCTTGCTTGGGAGACGAGGCGTTTACTGGGAGATGGTATGTGTTATCTTCTCATCTTTGCTTGTCTGAACTTTGGCTGACTGTTTTCGTGTAGTGCCAAGCTCAGGCTCTCGATCAGTGAAACTCGAATGCGTCGAGTTCCCACAACAAGGGCTAGAAGGTGAAATCGGTTTTCAGTAAAAGCAAATGGTGGTTAGATATGAAAGCAATGTTTAACTTTATAGGGGGTGCACGAATCAGAGTTTTACATTATAGTACCGTGTAATAGAAGAAATTTTAGTCTAATCTCGACATTAGTTTTGGTAGATATATGTTCTTGCAAGTTGCAACCTTTGAAGCCCTCAGAATTCGTGATTCAACCAAGAATATCTTAGAAACTGAGAAGTAGTGGCGTTTATGATAGTAGCGTGCTCTGGGAAATAAACCGAAAGTCATTACAGGTAACTGACTCTGGCCGTCGCGAATGCACAGTTCTGAAGGCCTCTTGGTGCATCCTAACAGCTACCTTTCATGTCCGATTGAGGAATTTTCACCCATGACGGAAAGCTCTTCTATTGTGGAGAAAAGCGTCATAATAGTAAATTTATTTTCTATATATTATGCCTGAAGATATTCACACTCACTTCCGTCCGTCCATTAAAAGTAAAATCCCGTGTCCGAAAATCCTTCATAGAATCTTTCCAGACAGGCACCATCCATTGACGACATAGCAAACAGGTGTACTCCGTGGGGGTATTTGGGATCTTTTCTTGATACCTACAAATGGGCTTTTTGACGCACTCAAAAGGTGCCCAGTCTGTGTAATTGTCTGGTGGTACTATCTTGTCACCGCATCGTGGGCAACGGGGTGATTTGGTAAAAGGGAGACGTGGGCCATGCCATCTACAAGATGGTTTTACGCATTTCCATAGACTTTGAACATCTCCGGTGGCCGGCGAAGTTGATCCTGTGCCTAATGAAGCTCCTGGTCTAGCTAAGAGGTCAGCATGGTAAGATGAGCCAGAAGTTGATGAACTCGATGACTCTGTTGTAGCTGGACTTTGTTTTTGACCACGAAATGGTCGTGAGAAATTGTATGTTTGTCTTCCATCGTGGCTCATAGCTTGTCCTTTTGTATACTTCAGTTTTTGAGCGTATTCTGTGTCGGTCTCCGTGTTCGTCTAACTTTTGTATTAAGCTAGAAATGAAACACCTTGAGAGATTAATTTATATTGTTTTCAAAATTACAGTAGGCTGACTGGGTCCAAGTGGATATTTAAATTCTGGCCTTTGAAATGGCATTGTGATGTTCTCTCCATATTCACCATTCACTCAAGTTGACACAAGTAACGTTGATTGGGATGCTTTTTAGGATATGCGATTGTCAGTTGATAAGAAGTTGCAGTTTGGAATTATTTTTTGGGGGCAGTTGTTGCCAGCCAATAACAATTTGGGTTGTACCACTTCTTTTTACTAGATATATTGGTCTTACTTATTTGTGAGTCACTGTCTAAATTTAATTTCTGAAGGAAAATTTCCATTATTGTGTATTCTTAGGCCAGCTAAGATAGGATGTTTGATGCAGTACAAAGAGCAAAGGTAGAAGGCAGCGCTCATTGACTGTCATTGCTTTTCAGATAAAACTCCTCCATGCTCTCTTGTCATTTCGTAATTTGGGACCAGCCTCTGAATACCTCTCACCATACCTCCTGTCAGGAATATCCGTCAATTCACCCAAATTTGTAGGTTCAGCACCAACCCCATAATATCTGAATCGCACTTCACATATCATCGAAATTGTCTTCCATAAATGGGACCATCCATTGACCGCAAACTTTACCTGACTTATCTGGTAGTTTGTGTTGACAGCGATATTCAGTCTTTCCAGGTGGAACTGTCTCCCAATAAGGGCAACCTTGTGCACGGTGTACACAATGTACTTTGAACCATTTGGCAAGGTTCGCTGGTGGACACATAGCCTGGCCGCAGCACCTGTAAATCATAAATGAATATCCTAAAACATTAGGTCTACAGTAGACCATCTTAGATTGAACTTACATAGGGTGATCGCCCAGTGGAAGCCGAGCTGTCATTCTCTTCTTACACTTTGAATTATTGCAGACCCAAGACTCGTCTATCTTAGGTTGAGTTGAGGTGTTGGTCGACATTGTGTATTCTAGGCGTCAAACTTTGGTTTGAAGAAGAGGGGATTGAACCAAGAGTGGGAATAGGTACGAAACTGTGGCTTCAAGTAACAATTGTGGCTACTTGTGGAAGCTACAGCATTCTGGTGTTCTGGTTTTGCTCAAGATTTATCACCTAGGTTGTTTTCAGGTTGTTAGACAAGATTAGAAAAGGTCCAAAGGATGTCTGATATAGACTTGTTCTAGCATGTGAAGACCGCTTAACACTAACTCTTCACTCATAGTGTTGACAGTTCACCTTCGTTATAATCCATTGAAGACTTTGGGTGAAGATTTGTTCTTTTGGTATTTGGTGAATAATCTGTTGCATAGCCTCCCTCATTTGAGACCACACAATGGATCACCTGAAGAATATTGTAACAGGTAAGTACAATAGCTTAGTACTGGCTCCACTAAAACTTTCCATGAATTTACGAGTTTCTTATTCACAGTTCCAGCTATGTCTAAGGGGCTTTCTACGATCAGCCGAGGCTATACACTAGGTACATCGTTTCCTCTTACTCTCAAGCTCTTTCGCCAAAATCGTGAATCAGAGAGGGGTACAAAAATCTCGGTTGCGCTGATAATCAAGTTTATTTGTGTAACTTTAAAGGTTCAAAATCATTCGAAGGGTAGATTCACTAGGTGTCACGAGGCATATGTAATTCCCAAGCCTCCTTGTAGAAGCTGTACCACGTAGCCTAGAAGAAAATTCCGACGCCCCGAGCATGGAGTTCGCTACCACTTCTAGTACGTTACCTTACCTTGTAAAAGAATGAGATGAGATCATTCACCAATTAATGTGTCCTTAGAACCCGGAAAAAATCACAGCATCTGTAGCAAGATACGATTTCTACCATGATGTTTATATAGGCACTTTAATTAAGCGAGCATGGCCTTCGATTTAGCGATCCTTGTATACGTAGAGAATTTATTTAATTATACTTTTCACATTAAAATCTTTTAGATCCTTAATATAGCTCTAATCACTTTTCATTCTTTTATTAGCATACTTTCTTTTTGAACCGGGCCGAGGTCGGGACTGCCAAGTGTGCTAGTCGTGGACCAAGTGAAAATTCTTCTCTTCAGATACAACCTGGTGGTGCGGCTTAATGTATTTGTATTGTCTAGGGTGTAATAGTATTAGGCTTACTCGTAAGAAGGTTGTAATATAATATATAATGTTAGGTTGCTTAGCAGGCGTTATAGTAATAACGGGATTGTACAGACTGGTAATTTAGGTATATAGATTTTTTATTATAATAAAAGTTGAACTTCATCTTTAAATTCCGTGGGGTAAATCGAAATCTTGAGTAAAAAATTCTCTAATTCCAGCGTTCTTGTATTAGTCAGCCACAGTATCCGGAATTTCGCTAAAGCGCCTCTACTTGTACCATAGAGCAAATTTTCACGATTTCGAAGATACTACAAGCCCTTTCAAATAGTGTAGTACAATACCTAAGCAGAATCTACCTAGGTAGCGCAAGGTACATAGCCCTTATTTAGTGGGGTTTGCTCAAACAGCGCACAGCGCACCGATATCCCGATGGTGGGACATCGCTTAGCGCGAAAAGAAAATTTTCAGATCCACTACCCACAAGGCTATAATAAGATAGTGAAATAAGCAAATCCATCACATCAAAAACAGTAATACACTGCCCGGCTAGCTCAATCGGTAGAGCGTGTGACTCTTAATCACAAGGCTGCGGGTTCGGTAAGTCTACTACTCCTTATCTACCAATCTCTGTTCTTTACTGACGCCATTCAAGAGTCCCGCGTTGGGCTCAATACCCAGCTTCTGTCTATATTTTTTGGCTTTTTTATTTCATCTTAGTGATATCTTTTTGTTCTTGAATCTTTCTCTAGGTTTCTAAAGGATCTATAGGAGAAATAACCTCCACTCGCTCACTATAACAAAGTCGTATATACGTACGTTCTACTAGATAGTTAAAAGAAACTACTTAACGGCTTCAGCTTCGATTTAATCTTTACCTTAGTTTTAACTTAGTATTTACTACTATTTTGTTAATTCTATATTCGATAAGAAATTCCTATATAGTTTAATAAATGAATAGATCCAGATACCACTCTGTTTCTCTATGCCCAAGTTCTTTTAATCTACTAAGACGCTATCTAGAATAATTGAATCTGCTCTTAGCTTAAATTTAAAAAGTAGTGTTCTTTGACTTAGTCAAACTTTCGAAGTACTTCCCCACAAACATCCTCAGCATGCCTTTCAGCATCAAACGCCATAACCCAATCCTCCCTTGGCAATGCAATACTTTCCGGGTCTTTCTTGACCTTCTCCCAATCAGCTTTATGCCACATATCTCTAGTGCTCTCCCCCAACTTCTGCACCTTCCTTACTCTCTCATATCTAATCTCCTGATATGCCCTAACAGCTTTCACCACGTCCCCTTTCCCAGCTCTTTTCAAAGTTATCGCAAGCGTCACGCCATCTTCTAAAGCCTGCGTGGCTCCTTGCGCGCTGGTAGGAAGAAACGGATGTGCCGCATCACCAAGCAACGCGATTCTTCCTCCTTCACTTACCCATGTAGGAAGTGGATCACGATATACGAGTTTCCAATCAACAACACTTGGGGTTTTCTCAACTATCTTTTTACATATCGGATCCCATCCTTCCAGAACCTTGTATACGTCTTCCAATTTCCCTGGGAAAGACCATGATTCTTCGATATCGTAAGAGTCTTTGTGGGTAAGTACCCAACAACAATCCGACCCATTTTTGATGGTGGAGAAGAGGAAATGAACGTCTGGTCCAATCCAGCCGTTGAATGTGTCTCCATTTGTACAGAAGTGAGAGGTTTCGGGATCAAGAATCATATCTTTGTTTGAGAACCTGTTTTTTTCTTTCATAAGTTATGGGCACTTGAGACCAAGAGTTGATGGACGTACCAAGCTCGGAATACTGCATATCCGGAGCTTTTTGGTTTATCTTCATATCCCAGAACAAGAGTTCTTGCTCTTGAACGAACGCCATCAGCACCAATCACTACATCGCCAGTAACCTTTGAATATCGTCAGCAATAAGTTCACTTGCAATCCAGCAACATTGTGAGATCACTTACGACTTCTCTATCCTCCAGCTCGATTCCTGCCTTGTCTCCCTCTTCAAAGTATCTGATAGCCTTCTTCCCAAGATGTATAGGTATTTTCAAATCGCTCTTTGCATGGTTATAAACAATCCCATGCAACTCTCCTCTATGTCCATTCAAGTTTGGCGCCTCGTCGTTTCTCGGCGGCGCTTTCTGGTGATGTATAATTTCTCCTGTATCAAATTTATGAATGTTGAACCCGTAAGTTTGAAGGTCGATCGAAATAGCTTGCATTTTGGCTGCGATTTTTCCATTTCCCCACTAGATACCCCTGTCAGTCCATCATGACAGTTGGGAGTGAGTAATTTGGCACAGTGTTGAGAAATAACTGACGCGGTGAAAGATACGTCCCCCATTTGAACCAAATGATATTATGTCGCCAAGTGGTTTTAATTCTGCAAAGGACTCGTAGATCTCTACCTCATGGCCTTGTCGTTGACATTCTATTGCTGCTGTAAGACCGCCGAAACCTTGACAATAAACACCGTAAGCCTTTTCATTCAACGGCACTCAGGAATAACTGAAAACTAACCTGCACCAATAACAATGACTTTGATTCCCGAGGGAGGTGGCACTGCACCATCGGCAACAATTTTAACCTCCTGAGTCATATTCGTGATATACACAAACTATTGGTCAGGTACGTAATTCGGTGGAAGAGCCAGGAGTAACAAGATAGCAGGAGCTAGAGTTGCTTGCGGTAAGAAACAAGGACTAGCTACACTGCCATCTACTATTTATGCCCTATCCCTAGTTAAAGCACTGACCACCTCGGTGTGGGTTATGCGGGGATACAAGAAAGTGAATGGAAACCTCGAGGTGGATTACTTGAAAACACAAACCGTATTACTGTAACCGAAACAAATTCCAATTTGGTTCCTTCTATATGTACATAACTCAACGAAGCCACAAAGGTTCTTTAATTTGCAAACAAAAATTAGAGAATTTCCTATCAAAGAGACAGGCAGAGGATGATGAAAAAGGATAACATCATCCGACTATTGACATCTACGAGTACCGGATGCTCTGCATGGTGGGGCCATAATTGAGGGGTTCATTTCTAAACCCCACACCATATGACCCCGCAATAGAAGTACCATAAGCAAGTATTACGGATGAAAGTTGCTTGCCGCCAATAGAAATTCGTATGGCTCAATTATAGAGAATTATCAAGAATTTTTTGAGAAGGTCAACAACATTACATTTGGTACAAAGAATGGAATCTAGAGATAGGATGGGGAGTGGTAGTGGTGTAATGGCCTGTTAAACGTGAGTGTTTTTGGCTAATGGAGCACCCCACCAAGCCTGTGGTCGTACAACGCATTGAACTTCAAGCTCATACCATTCTAACTATAGACACAATAAAGACATTTTGTGACGACAAGATCGTAGCTGAATGAGTTGGATAATGAGACTTGGAATTTGTAGGGTACTTTGTCGTCAATTAAGAAAGTTATGTGTGTTCTTTAGAGCTAGGTAATATGATAAATCAATAGTAGACACTTTACTTGCACATCATTCTATCTTTGTCTACAAAATATAGAAGTTTTGAGTACTAATTTAAACTTAAAAGACTTTTGATGTTCCTCGCTAAAAACATTACGATAAACATAGCGAACAAGCTAACGCCGTTCGGGGTTAAGTGGAAAAGACTTCTAATTAGCTACTAGTTGAAAGGAAAGTTCGTTTATCTTGGCATGAGTCATGAACCGACAAAAGTGGAGGAAAGAAGGGTAAATATCGGCTGATTATCAAAAACGGACATATAATCAAACAACGAAACTGGTTTCTATGAAATCAAAAGAAAGGCAATGTGGCCGAGTGGTTATGGCGCCAGTTTCAGGTCTACCTGATATATATATTACTGGTTCGAAAGAGCAAGGGTTCGAATCCCTTCATTGTCAACTTTCAAGGGTACCTTACCAAAAGCTCAATCTCTATTGTTTGATGGCTTCTTTTTTTTTTTCACTACCTTAGGGCCTGTTTTCCGAGACGATATTGAGCCGCAATATCGTCGAATGGCATATTATGTGGACTATATTTGGCTCTCCAAGACACCGTCCACGTACAGACGCTAAGTGCCTAGTAAACTCTATTCCTAGTATCTTGAGTGTAACGAATACTCAAACTGGCTAACTAAACTTGGCTGGGTGTTCGCTGGTTGGTATGCTATGATAAGAAGAAGACTATCGGGTTGTTCACTTGGAAGTGAACTCGTTACTTGTATCAAAGATGTCAAACTAATATGATAAGATTGATAACTAAGTTGAGCACGAAGCTCCTATCTAATGGCAGACGTGCCAGTCTTATATAGATCCTTCGTTCTCCAAATCCCAAATGCCGACAACTCGCTTGTCGCGCTGTCGCGCTTTTATCACGTGACTATGAATGCTATGAAATCCTTGGATACTCAACAACCCTGAGTAACCACTGCTATGCTATAACTACTCTGGATGTATCTGTCTTGTCAGAACGCCGTCTGGACTAACTCGTCACATGCTAACACGTGATTCGTGACATTGAGGCACAATATTTCTCCCACCAAAAGACACGACAAAAGGACTTATTGGTCAGACCAAAATATCGTCCTTAATATCGTCCTTGCGAGCGCTCTACATGCCCTATTACTAGTACATTTCAGCGTCTCTCCGACTACCTAATACTACCTAGGCTATAAACTCCTAAGTTCTTATCTTTTTACGCTCGAAAATTTAGTTCTAGGGAGTAAACTAATTATTTGCTATCGAATGTACTGCCTTATATTATTGTGTAGCCACTTAGGGTTTTTTGCCCTATTAGGCTCTATTGCCCTGAAGCTACAGCGTGTGTGCCCTGAAGGACTTTTCGAACTTTTCCTGTCTTACGAATCTGGCTTGTGGAGTACGAGAGCCACTTTTGCCCCATGGTCCTGTGGATACGCCTTGTGGACCTTCCAAGGATGCCAATAAGTATAGAGATTGTAGCTCGAGATTCTGGGAAAACAGGCCCTTAACTTACCACCTAGGTACTACTCTGACTCCGTCAAGGATTTAGGTAATTCGAATACTGACTCTAGGATTTTCAATACATTTAGTTTACCGTGGTTGTTATCATCTAGCATATCGAAGCAAGTGACCTTGCCAAAGCAGATACTAACCCATACCTCGAAGTCACTATTGGCTGTCCTGTCACTAAGCCAGAGTTGTCGATACGTGATATCGCTACGAAGGGGTTATTCAAAGTATCACAAAACAATTGAATCCCTTATGACATGGAATGAGGTGAACATCACTCTCGTGGATAAGGCGTGAGATCTCCCTGTCTTTCTCTCAGGACGGGCGAGGGGGTGAATTGTTCCCCAAGTTCTTTCTCCCATTATCATTCCGCTCTCAACGAGAAGTTTCTTTCTTCAAAGACAAATACCGTTTTTGGGTGTGGGACGGTGTATTTTGACAATGTGGGATCTTAGTATTAAAATGGCAATTCTGACTTCATGATATTTCACAGGTTTAATCGACGTCTTACAGCTTCATAAAAGAGAACACGAGGAGGCCAAAAGAGAAGATGGTTGGTTTGACACCTTCTTTCCAGAGAATCATTTCCGGCCGTACAAGAAGATTTCGGCAATGGGGTTACGAGTAGAGCAGTTCGATGAATTTGTGCATCCCATGTTGGAGGGTATAGATAGTCAGATACATCTAATGAGCTTGGAAGAAACGGAGCGTGGACGGGCCAACTTCGTGGATAATTATGCAATGGATCTTTACACTCCAGAGGAGGCAGTATCCCAGCGCAATGCTTTTTGGGAGACGCATACGGAGTATTGCGTAGAACTAGAAGAAGCAGATACGAAAAATGCAGCATTTCTAGCCGAACTTGAATGGATGGGCAGTTCATAGCTTACAGAAACACTTTGCGAGATACAGGAACATTTTTTCGTTGTCGGACTCGTTGCTGCGTTGCAATAGCACTGGAGTAATTATATTACAAGTGTGCAAGCGGACCATCTGCACGAACAATGCCAATGAAGGCTTTTGAAATATCAGCAACAGTCTTACAACCTGTCAACATCATACACCGCCTAAACTCATCATAGAGAATATCCAAAGTTCTCTCCAGCCCAGCCTGTCCATCGTACTATCAGATCAAATATTAGCTCTCATATCTCAAGTGCTATCCAAGTTTTCGATTCACACTTACAGCAAGTCCCCAAATCACGGGTCTACCAATCCAGCAACAATCTGCTCCAAGAGCGATCGCTTTGAAAATGTCCGCGCCGCTTCGGAATCCTCCATCAACATGAATAGGAATTCCCCCCTCAGCAGCGGCAACACACTCTGGCAGAGCATCAATAGTAGCAGGCGCTCCATCAAGCTGGCGGCCTCCGTGATTGCTCACAATCACGCCATCACACTTGTACTCCCTTGCAAGTAAGACATCCTCTGCAGTCAGAACACCCTTGATCCAGATCTGCATCTTGGTTTTACTCCTCAGCCATGGGATCTCTTCAGCCCACGAATGCGTATCCGAGTTTAGAGTCATGAATCCATCATCGTGGGTAGTTGCAACAATCATCTCGGAGGTTCTCTCAAGCATAGGAAATCCCAGTCCAACTGGGGTGCGGAAATCGTTGCGCCATTCATTGTATCGAACACCTAAGACGGGACTATCGGCAGTGAGGAAAATGGCTACACATCCAGCTGCTTCTGCACGTTTGATAATACGTTCTTGAAGTGCTCGGTCTTTCATGGTGTAAACCTGCATTGCGTGCGTGATTGGTGCAACCTCGTGACCGGCTTTGGTCACCTCTTCCACAGAGTAGTTTGAGAATGACGAGACACCCATGATGAGTCCCTTCTTCGCACAGGCCCGACTCGTGGCAAGCTCCCCTTCCGGATGTGCCATTGCTTGAAGACCAGCTGGTGAAACTGATAGCGGAAATGCAATCTTAGTGCCTAATACTGTAACACTTGTGTCTGCCCCAGCGACATTCCGTAGAACTCGTGGTCGGAGACGGTATTTTGCGAATGCTGTACTATTTTCATGAACGGTGATTTGATCCGTGGAACCAGAGTTATAGAAGTCTTTAACACAAGATTAGCTTTGGATACAATGACCAGAATTTGCGTTGGGATTCTCATCAATTTTATGGTCTAGCCACAAAGTGAACATGGTAAATCGCGTCTCGTACCTGTTGCAGTAGTATCTAGATTCTTTCTCGCTTCTTCGCGAACATCGCCAATGCTGAGAACCACAGGTTTACTCATTTTGGCGTCCGAGGACCGTATTTTGCTGTTTCTTCTTCAGTATGCACGATGATGCAGATGATTTCGGATGCGTCCTCACTCTCACCGTATGAGACAAGCGTGCCTGAGAATTGGCGAAGTACCCCTTAGACTGATATCAGAGTTTAGAACCAAGCCAATTCCATTTTCAATCTCCAAAAAAAGAAAAGAAATAATCAAGGCAGTTTGTATAAAGGCGCCGAGTGAGGAGGCAGGATACCCCCACTTTCCACCTGCCTGCTGAGTTGGTCTTACAGTATGTAGACATGTGATTGGAGTGCTCGTAGTCTCAGGTGTGTACGGTACATAATCTTACAGTGGGATTCTGGAAAACGTGAGTCTCTGTGACTTCTAGATGTTGCGGAGTTCATATATATTGGCCTGTGTTTCCAGTTTCAAATGCCATAAATAGATCATACAAGATCGTCCAGGGAGGTACCGTGACCACAACTTGATTACTAACAGAGTTCTTTTCACATTCCGATTAAAAATAGAGGAAACTGTTGCGGTTCGTGTGCAATGCTCACATTCGCCAACTTCACAATCTCAGATTCCGAACGTGGCCAAAACAGTATAGTGCCGCGACCGCACTACTGTAGATTCCACAGGAAGAACCGCGCCTCCATCCTACTCCTGTATCATTTTCTGTTCAACTTGCATCAAATATGGCACAGATCCATTGATATGAAAGTTGAAAACTTCAATTTTGCTGACGCAAACTAGATCGATGATGAGCTTCTCGGCGTTTTATTTTGGATGCAAAAACTGAGAAGAATGGGAAACTGCATGATGCCAGCGAAAACACGCAGGTCCGTAGGCTCATGCTGCCGATGATTTGGATCAAACTACGAATACCAATCAGCACAGAAGTCGAAGTGGAAATTTTGGAACTGTAGACTAATATATACAGCGGTTGCCTCCAACTGAACCTTCTCTTCGCCGTCATGTTGCACAAGCACAGCAAAGCTAGTAGTCAAGGTGTTTTCGTCGGCGTGCTATTTGGGCTTAAACTTACACTTATAATGGATTCATCATGGGTGAACAGTCAACTTCTCACTAGTCTTATTGTTAGATTCCCCATGATGAATATTAAGCAGTTATTGAGCACACAAATATCCCAGATCTTCAATTTGGAACTGAATCTTATAGCATATCACATCACTTCTTTCCCATTCTCTTTACATCACTTCCAACTTGCTAACATCCTGAGGACATGCAGTATCCTATTCACAAATAAGTATCATCACTTGTCCCAAATTCAAACAAAGACTAGAAACAAGGTAGACTGAGGGAATAACCATACCATAATAGCAGTAAACTTCTCAACCTTCCATATCTCGTCAATCTTTATAAACTTCAACCTCCCCGCCCACTCATAAGCCTTCGCTCCCCCATCTTCAAATTGATTATCCGTGAATCCATGAATCATAACCTCACTACCATCGTCGCCAAACATGAAGACCTTTCTTACAACGTGACGACGAGAGGCGGTGCCTTCCCAAGATTTTTCCGTCCATTTTGCGAATGCTGAAAGATTGTTAGTGATTGGGTAATATGAGATAATTTAAAGAAAGGGGGGTGCATGAGATTTACTTTCAGTACCGCCGGAATATTCTCTTGGTGCTCTTTTCCCCAAAGCGGTGGGTGAGAAGAGGGAGCCCCACGAGGCATGGGATTCGGGGGTTTTGGTGTCGAGGACGAGGTAGAAGGTTTCTATTAGAGTGCGGATGGCCGGATCAAGAGTTGGGGGATAGACAGTCATGGTTTCGTACGTAGGAGCTGAGTCGTGGATTTGAAATGGATATGTCCGGTGATACTAGAAGTGGGAGGAAGCTGCAGATCCGTTCTAAGGAGTACTTTAGTATCACCAGAAACTTAGGAATTGATCCGTGAGGTCTGGCTTCAACACTACCGAAACTACCAGTACCTTAGAACTAGTTTGACTAGATTCGAAAGAGGGGATACAAACTCTAATTACCCACCATTTAGTCCTAAAAGTCTATCAATACAAGGTTAAGGCTAGACTTATTAAGATGTATCATATAGGTACTTATTGCGATATTACCATGGTGTCAGTAATAACTCCCTCAACTTCTCTATATTATACTACCCTAAACAAGAAGGGGAGGTTCCCTGACGTACCTACTATGTAGCTCAGGAACTATCCATAGCATGTGACTATCATGTGACCGTCCTCGGGTACCTAGATTGTAAGCGAGAACTATCTTTCGTACCTTCATCCCAGTTTTAAAGCTTTACTTCATCGCGTAACTTTACAGAAGGGGCATGTAAGCTCTATAACAAAGCTTTTTGGGGTTCCACAAAATAAAGTACTGTTAAGCTCCAGGGTAGCAAATCTTATCTAAAAGACACGAGCTTGATTGTTGAGTTATCTTGAGTTATTTATCATTCTCACTGAACAGGATTAATAAACTACAGCCTTTAAACCCTTTGTCTGTATAATGATGAACACTACCGTGAATGGCTGCATCATTGGTCTTGAATCGTTGAGGAAACATCCTGATACTATGATAGAATAGAAAACTAAACTCAGTAGTGTAGAATATTAACACAGCAGAGAATAATTTATCTTTGTAATTTGCTCATGTCTTGTACCTTGTTCATTCAACGATATGAAGGTCTGGGGAGGGCTATCTAAGTTCGTAAGCTCAACTTCGCAATAAGGTCTGTAAGAGGAGGTCAAACTCTGAGAAGGCAATCCTCAACAGAAGTGTAATTGCATCCCTAGTGGTAGCATGTGGGCAAACAGAAAGAACGCAGTCTATGACGTACAGTGTTTGAGGTGATTTAAGGTGGAGCAAAATTTACCTAGGACACTATAGCAAAGAGTATTGAGGCTGGATTTCGTAGAGCAACAGTGTGTCATCTTAACTTGTTTGTCAGGCTTGATCAACAAACTTTCAACTATGCTAATATCAGTGTATTCGCAATTCTTAGAGTAATTGCACACTTTCTCTTGATAATGATTGGCACTTATAGTATTCACACTAATACTGTAACAGGTGAAGAATGTTGTCCCAAATCTCCAACTTAAATGTAAGACAGCACAAGTAATACAGTACTACATTTCTTCTGTAACTTTTCATTGACCAAAACAACTCTTGATAACACATTGGTGCGCAAGCAACAAGGAATCGAAACCACTGAATACCATACCACCATATGCTCTGTCCCTTGCGCTCCCTCAACTTGTTCTCTTGTCTGTCATCAAGTATCAGTATCTCCGCGTTATCAATGCGTCCTCAAGTATCTCGCACTCACATGTTTCTCTTATTCTTGGCAAGTCTTTCCAACCCCACCAGTATTGCCTCCTGCAGGCTGGCACAGATTAGGAGTACAGCATGGAAGATCCTTAGGACCACCACAAGAAGCTACTCTGTGGATCAGTTCTCCATTTGTTGGATTTCCAAGGTATGGGGTCAAGTAGGTCATGTAGAATTGATTGAATTGTAAAGCAGTTATTGTACAGAGTATATATATGAGAATAGGGGTAAAAAGAGTGGAGTAGTATCCCAATGCGGAAACAGTGCAAATAATGAAATACATGTATAAATAATGAAATGAGTGGTTTCCACGGTTCAACACCATTCCAGGAGATGTATCAATGATGAACTTTACTAACAATTTAAGGCAGCGCAGATATTTTCGGCAACAGCTGCATTGAAGAGACCGAGTAACGTAACCGCGATTGTAAGCTTCATGTTGTGGAAAGGTCTGGGTGATTGATGTAAATAGATTGGTTACTTGGTATTTGAATGAGTTCTTGGAGAGGATTGTAATGCGTCAGTCAATGGGCATAGAGGCTTTATATAGTGTTCGTCCATATCAATTTGTCGCGCACCGACTAGCTCCTACTTGGCCATTTGCTGCTTTCTGCCCCATGACTCGCTTTGGTAAAAGGAACCAGATAGCTCGCGTCGCCACCCCCCCTGCAAATGAAGTGTTATACTTCGTCCTGGGCAAACGAAGTACTTTTACTTCGTCCTAGAGAAAATAAATGGAGGCTTTTCTGGGGGTTGTACCCTGTTGTTCGCCTTGAGCACTCTAGTAAAGCTAAATCTTTTATGCCTGGGACGAAGTAGCTTCTCCCAACAAATAAAACAGGGCCGTTTGGTATTCTATTTATCCCTCTAGATATCTGTTGGGTCTTTCCGCACGATTACTTGTATCTACCTTCCGGTGTATTTGAATTTTGCTGCACTCAAGAAGTTGAATCACATCCAATACTTTCCACTGCCGATTTGAAATGGTAGCACCTTGCCGTGTTGCTGGCTATAATGGGATTACCTAGCGCAAGGTTAATACAAGTTTATTCGTGGTGCTAGACATTCTCTGGCAAGATGGTGGCTTTTAACCTAGCAGAAGAAAACCTAGATGGGTTAACGAACACTGCACGATAAGGAATATATGTAGCATTTTCCATGGTGGTTACTTAGAGTAGAGGCGATAGTCCTCTCGTGTAATTCTGATGTGTATCAACCAGATTCATCCTCCCTAACATATCAACTACACCATGCCCCTGAGAATCTATCCTCCCAAGCAAATCAACTACGTCCCCCTTCAACTATCCTTAGAAACATAAACAATCACCAGTGTCTTTACCACAACAATCATTAGCATCGGTACGAAGCAATTGGTGAACAACAACTTACATGCACTTTGCGTGATATTCTGTACCGCATTTGAGCTGGCAATCGCTATCCTTCATGTAACCCTGGGCCTCCGTTGCGCTGAAAAGAGTAAGAGCGGTGAGGAAAACTCAGACTGTAGAGAGACGCATTGTTGTATAGGTGGAGTTTGTAGGGTTTGATGAGGCTGCTTGGGTCGATTTGTTGTAGCAAGATAGGTTGTGGTAGATTCTTTGGTCGCTGACAACTGACTAGGTGGTACGAGGTCAAATACTGTGAGCAACAAAAGTAAGTAAGCATTACCTGAGGTAGGAGTGTGTTTGGTTTGTACAGTACCTAGGTACCCTCTACAGGTACGAAAACTTTGGACTAAACGCGAATTTCTAAGTAACATACAGTACTGTACTAGAGTGATTTTGCCACGGATTTTTATAATTACAAACGTCCGAGAGCACCTTCCAAGAAGTGGACAAAATCCGTGCTAAAAACACTATTACAACTTGTGGAGATAGAAGAGGACCGAGTGTTGTTGAATATAAAAAAATCAATTCTGTAAAAACCTACATATTATAATCGATTTAAGTGTTTTTGGTGACCGTGCCACCCATTAGGCACCTCGTATCTGACTTAAGTTTGAATAGCTACCTCGCATTCGATTTACATTTAAAGCTATTCCCACTTTCGCGTTATATATGAGATGTGATACAAATCCTTTAGCGACTTTTATCATAAATGGTTTATAAATCGAGGTTAAAAAACAACCACCAGCGTATTAACAAAACTAATCAAATACTCAATGCTACTCGAGTAGTACTCGAGCTAAGTTAAATAAGTATAATTAGGTAATTCTGTTAAGTTAAGTTGAGTAGTAAAGTAAACTATTCGAGTAGTACTCGAGTAGTTATATATAACGTGACTATAATACAAGAAAGTCATCCTTAAATAGCATGTCTATTACAGGGGCACTCGGCTAAGTTGGTTTGCGCGCACCGACCACTCGGAGGCAGGCTAGCGAGCCGGGGCGCTTCGGGGTATCGGGCCGACACTACTCGAGTAACTTATGAGTTAATCGAGTACTTGGTGAGTTAAGTTGATTAGGTACTACTACTCAACTTAACTCAACTCAACTACTTGAATTTAATACGCTGACAACTACAAAAGTTGTAAACTTAGTTATATGTACACTAACAAACGTTGTTTATATTATAAAAAACCCGCGGCAAAATTACTCAACTGTACTAGTAGATTAAGGTGAAACTTGCCATCCAAACTTAATAACAAGCTTTCATTCTAACGTTATACTTCGTCCCAGACGAAATAATGGTAGGTTTGCTAGGGTACCTAAGGTTGGCAACAGGTGAAACCCCCCTGATAAACCTACATTTCTTTCGCCTTGGACAAAGTAGGTAACGCTTTCACTCAAGCATATGGTTAGTTATCAATTTGGTACAGGTGGAGAGAAAAAAGTGGACATTTAGCTTTAGCCTTAGGTGATAACAGAGTCCATTTTTCTTTCCCACTTGTACCGAGGGGAGGAGCTTGCCACCAGGAGCTTGTTATCATGAATTGAACCTAACCTACTCGCCACTCCTCCTCGATCGATATTGGTATATTTTTCGGCTCAGTGAAGACGGGCTTCGACTATTTCAACAAAGGGGATAGTCGCACCTCCACCTGCCTATTCCTCGAAGCGCCTCCTGGTTCTTGTGTCTTATTTAAAGGAAATCATGGTCTTCTATACCAATATCTTCCCACCCCTTTTCACTTATTTCCTCTATTTCCTCTGTGTGGGTTCTTCTTGTGGGTCTGCTTAAGCACCTATGGCCCCTAATTACGCTGACTTTCCACTCGAGTACAATTTGATCAAATTCGCTAATCTGTTTTAGGGGGTTCGCTAAACTTCACAGGGTGCCTGGAATAGGACCTTGTGCCTTGCAGAACATATAGTAACGTGAACTCCTAACACACACACTGGCTAAATAGCCTTGTACTCTGTAACACTAAGGTAATTTATATTCGGCATTGCCTCGGGGCTTCTCTGAATGTTCTCGAGTCTCATTACATGGCTTTCTTGTGAAAAACAAGTGACAAGCTGATAGAAGTCACAATATACCTACTCCGTTACAACAAATTAATTCACCTAGGTTGATCACGCCGTACTTCTGGTTGTTTTTAAAATAGGTCGTGACTATTTTGTCGTGTACCCCACAACTCTTGAGTCTGACAGGCACGGAAACATGAGGGGCAGATGGCAGATCAGCCCGCCTGGAGCGTGCTACAGATTGGTAGCACGCGGACCCCCAAAAAGAAAGACCGTCACACTCCCATCACGGCCTACCGTCATCGCATGCCTCTAGCATTGCTTTTGTCTCAAGGATAGCTGCAATTGCTATATCTTGATGTGGGAACGACTTCCTCCTTGATTCTCCTGCAGTTTGGGATCAATTAATTGCTTGTAATTACTTTTCCCTGCAGGTCTCCATCTCCAGCCTCAAGTCCCCTCCTCGATTCTGCGACAAATACAACACCATGCGTCTCGCTCTCCTCCTCCCCCTCCTCCCCAACATTGCCACAAGCTTGAGCTCTGCCTTTAGTATCGTCGATTCCCAAGTGCAAGTGCCCCTCCTACTCGAGCCCCTCGGCGAGGACCAGAAGGCCAATGCCCATCCCATCAAGACGAACGACAATGCCAAATTACAGAACCTTCTCGGTGCGCTGGACGTGCTCGAGGACGACTATTTTGCAACATGGCAAGGTGTATGGCCGACTGGAATAGATTGGACATCTGCGGTCATGGGAACCTTTGTTTCGTCGGCTCTTAGTACCATTTCAAAATCCCTCCACCATGATGAAAACCTGGTCAACAAGTACTTCACCCAGCTCATCGCCTTCTACTTTGGCCAGGATGCCTTTGGTCTGCGAGGGGAGGCATATGATGACATACTCTGGGTGGTATTGGGCTGGTTGGAGACGATCAAATTCATTGACATACAGCAGGGTCGTCATTTGGCCACGGCCTCGTCACCCTGGTATGGGTCAATTTGGAAGCCAGTATTCGCACATCGCGCTCGTGTCTTCTGGGACCTGGCATCGCATGGATGGGATGTGACGCTCTGTCGTGGGGGAATGGTATGGTCTCCGTACCTGGAACCTTACAAGAACGCTATCACGAACGAGTTATACATTTCGGCCTCGATTTCCATGTACCTCTATTTTCCCGGCGACGACAACGCCTCGCCCTTCTCTTCGCATGTATCTTCGCCCCTTCAGGCCCTTTCGAATGCTACTATCCCTCTAGCGATTCCTCGAGACCCGAAATATCTAGCAGCTGCAATTGAGGGATACAAATGGCTAAAGGCAAGTAACATGACGGATGCACAAGGGCTGTACGTGGACGGGTACCATATTTCAGGTTGGACAAAAAACAACACGAATGGCAACACAAATTGTGATTCGCGGAATGAGATGGTGTACACCTACAACCAAGGAGTCTTGCTCTCAGGCCAACGTGGATTGTATGAAGCAACTGGCGCAAAATCATACCTCGAGGACGGTCATCAGCTTGTTACGGATGTGATCTCCGCTACGGGATGGGATTTGGATACGCAATCACCAATTCAAGACACAGACGAAAATGGAGTTGGAATATGGCATGGTCTTGGTCGAAGCGGGACTCTCGAAGAAGCGTGCGATGTCGCTGGAGATTGCTCCCAGGACGGTCAAACGTTCAAGGGGATATTCTTCCATCATTTTACCCGTTTCTGCGAGCCTCTTCCAGAACGACTCATCCTTCAGGGTAGGACTAGTAATGATGGATCCCTTGAGGAAGTGCGCAAATACCACGCGAAGGAATGCGCGAGTTATGGATATTGGATCAAGCACAACGCCAAAGGTGCTCTCAGCACACGTACCAAAGAAGGAAAATTCGGGATGTGGTGGGGAGCGCCGGCTTCTACCAACGCAACACAGAACATGGAAAATGAGCTACCAGATCAAGCAGTTGATTACCGAAATCTTGGGGCTCCAAAAACGTGGAAAGGCAGACCCATCACGCCCAATCTTCACCCTCAAAAAGAGGAAGCCAAAAATGCGATCAGTGAACAGAAATCTGCGCTTGGATCCTCGGATCTGAATGATAGAGGAAGAGGTCGTACGCTTGAGACCCAAGGTGGTGGACTCGCGGTTTTGAGAGCTAGATGGGAACTTGTAGATAGAGATGATTGAGTGGTATTGGGAAACGTTACGGAGTATACCTATACAGCACGGGCATCGCTTACGGCGTCTATACATATCCGCGAGGGATGGGAAATGTTCATATGGGATGAGGATTTTTATACTTGTGGGACCTGGGTGGGTTTGGGCATATGCATATGCATTGTTATAGTAGAATACATGGCAGAGGTACATACATGTGGTGGTGTGGGGTGTATATCTTACTTTTTACTTTTAGATACTCTTAATTGTTATAGCCCTTTTTGTAGGTCGTTTTTTACGTCTTTGGTCGTGATAGGATTAGGAGTATTTAAGCGTATGAATGTATTTCTTGATCATGTGGACTTGGTGTCTAGTGTTTATCCTCCTTGCTCTTGTTTTATACGAGGGTATCTTTGAGTTTTATTTAGTATTTAATAGCGATGGTTAGCTATAATAGCGTTTTGGATTATTTATTTCTTAATAGAACTTTTACGTCTAATTCTAAGCTCCTTAGAGTATTCTTAACCTATAAAGACTAGTATTCTATACGCGATATATACTAAATTATATTACTTGAATTAATAGAATTATATTAAGCGAAATATAAGTAAATAGTTTCGTTTTGTTAAGTTAAGTAGTTAAGTTAAATATTTAATTACTAAATTATTTATATATTAAAAATAATAAATTACCTTCTAAATATTCTTATAATAGTTTTATTAGATGTTTTAGATACTTACATTTATTAGAAATCTCAGTATAAGAGTCTCTAGGGAGACTCTTATAGCCGTCGTAAGGGCAAGAACTCGTATACGTCGTATTACGCGCACAGCCACGCTAAGCCACACCGAGAGCCGCATGCGCACTTGAGTGTAACGATAACTAATCCGGCTAACTGAAGCTTGACTGTTGTTCGCTGGTTGGTATGCTAGGATAAGAAGAAGAACTATCGGGTTGTTCACTTGGAAGTGAACTCGTTACTTGTATCAAAGATGTCAAACAAATATGATAAGATTGATAAATAAGTTGAGCACGAAGCTCCTATCTAATGGCAGACGTGCCAGTCTTATATAGAACCTTCGTCCTCTCCTGGATCCATTGGATCCCTTTGGATCCCTTCGGGATCCATCCGGGTCCATCACGTGACAGTAACCAACGGATAGATATCCTTGGATCGCTTAGCTACTCTAAGCGATCCCTATTATAAGAAACCTGGGTGTGCACTGTCGAGGGTTGCGCCTCCTATTATGACACGTATCACGTGGACACGTGATTCGTGACATTGAGCCTCACCTGCACGCAGCGTGCGGCTCTTTGCGCCTACGTAGCTGCACTTCCACGTGTCGGAACGACATAAAAATAAGACAGATTTGTAGGATTAATTAAGTACTGTCTTATCCTCGAAGTATGTACGTTTCCGACCGGTGGAAGCGTCGCTACGTAGGTGTAAAGAGCCGCGCGCAGCGGACGAGTTTTGGTGTTCCTGCTAACTCACCACGCACCCACTTTTCCTTTCCTAATATAGTAAGTAAGGACTACGCTTTACCTAATATAGTAAGCAAGGAAGGTTTACGTTCCTGCCCTCACAAAGGATTCTAGAGTCTCTTTTGAGAATTACCGAGGAACGAATATTTTTCATGTCGAGACTCTAGGATTATACTAGATTGCTTTATTAGATAATTATAGACTTAGTTTTTATTATTTAGGAGTAGTAAGTATCGAAGTAATAAAGAAAGTTATTTAGATTACTTGAATTTAATTAAATAGTTAAGAGATTATAAAAGAAATATAACTTTTAATTATATATAAAATAAGTTCTTTTTCTACTTCTCTTTTAGTCTTCTAAGTTCGTTAGCTTACGTGCCTTCGCTTAAAGTAAACCTAAGAAATTACGGTATAAAGATATAGCGGTAAGGATATAACGACGAAGATAAAACAACGAAGGTCTAGAAGGGTAAATGTAGGAGCCGACCTAAATTAGTTGCACTTAGCACCGGAAATCCCCTTGCTTATATCTATAGGGCTATCGTATATAGTTAAAGGGCACAATAAATGAAATACGTTCTAAGCGCGCTAATACTACTCTACGGATAAGGTGTATTAGTAGAGAGAGATAAAAGCTATAAAAAATAGATTGAAAAGAAAAAATTAGTGAAGTGTAACCCCTTCTTCATAGGGCTAGGGTTGGTCAAATTATATTTACTATATATGTAATAATAGAGTCTAAATTATATATGTAATAATTGTGACGACACGCACAGCTGATGGACCGCGCAAGAGCACGACTACGTCAGGTATCACGAGTGGTGAGATTGACACTGTGGAACTGTCTATTCGAGGATTCTAAGCTAAGGAGAGAAGAGAAGAGAGCAGAGCTCGGGAGCCAGAGGTTCTTATATACAGGAGGTTGTGCCAAGCTATGGCTAACTGAGCCGGGCTCAGGAAGCACGGTATCCGCTGGGTTTCAGCCAGGGGCTGGTCTGAGGTGTAGTGGCGGTTAGAACCGTCACAATAATAGAGTCTTTGGATTATGTTTCCCCACTTTTAGTTATAAAAATACACCTAAAATAAGACTAAATTACGCTCCGTAAGGGGTAAAAAAGGCTATATTTTAATAAATTTACCTTATTCTACTACTTCTTCGTCCTCCTTGTCCCCCTCGTCCATAGACTCTTCTCGTTCTACTAAAGCCTCTTCAATTATAAGAAGGATTTGTTAAAACTAGCTCGTGGTTATAGTGATAATGTTGATTTTGGGGTGTTTATTAAGGGGCTAATATAAAGAAAGTTAGTGTTAAGGCTAGACGGTAGTAAAAGTCATTGCCTCCTATTAGTCTAAATCACTTTAAAGTAGGCCTACTCCTAGGCCTCCTCCAGCCAAGAAATTAATTATAATAATCATAAATAATAGACTCTTTTGGATAATTTGTATAATTATGTAATAGAGTCACCAGTTATATAATTATATCTTCCCTACATAGGGCGTCCGACTCTCGCTAGGAGAGGAAGCGGGTATTCCATACGATCCACACACGTAGATGGTTTTCTCTTACGGGGATGGAAGGGGAAGGAGCCGGGTGAATGTCACTAATCATGTACTGAAGTATCAGTTGGTATTTGGACTTTCACCATCACGCGTCGTGACCCACAACCAACGTCGCCACCGCGGACGAACTGGATTCTATTCTCGAAGGAGCCAGTTGTAACTCCAACGACGGCTTGACCTACAGCCCTGCCCCACAGAGTCATCTCAAGATCCTGTACCAACCACGAATACAGCTTAGCTTGAGGCACTAAGGGCGCCAATGGGATGTGTGGAATCCCAACAGAACGTCATGTGAATACATGAGGTTGGCGACCAAGATGAGGTCTCCAGCTCACGGTAAAGGGCAGTTGCAATCTTTCTTTTGTTGGCGTAAGTGCCGATGTTCGCAAGACTGGTGAATGTGTTACCCAAGTACAGTATTTTCTGGATTCACGGATGAGTTAGGCCCGAGGACTTAATCTTTTTTGGTATTTTTGAGTTAGCGAGGTTGGATTGGCATCTCGTGTAATAGCGCTCTGCCACACCACCATTACACTACCCCGCTAGCCAAAAAACCGACAACGAGTTCTCTTATTTGTACTTAAGTATATATAGTATGTTTCAACTAGCTCTCTCTAGATTTGTTTCGATTCCCTTTACGATACTTTAGTTAATTCCATGTTAGAAAAAACAGAAGTACATTCTTAACGAGCGCCTAAGTAGCGACAAGGCTGCGAGGGGAGGCTCTGGAAAGTATTAAAGGTCCTTATTATATACTTCGGAATCTATGCTTATTTTGGGCTTTTTGTGTCTCTGGCACAAGTATCTTACTTCATAGGCTCTTGAGGCTAAGTTTGGTTTGTTTAGAGTCTAAAAGGTCTCTCGTAATATATCTAATATCACCGCCTAAGAGGGATTATAAATACGAAGATCTGTATTTTGGTACAGCTCTACACTTGAATGACTAACTTAGGGTGAATCAAATTATTACTTTACAATAGTGAATAATAATTAGCTAGCTCTGTTCCTTCAAGCCTAGCTTGCTCCGCTCCTTTGGGACTAGCGTACAATAGCCTCTATAAGTACGCAGGGACTTAGCTAGCTACACTTGCTTTGGCATGTAATATAGGACTTAGTTATTACAGATAATAATATAGGTCTTTTACATCGCCCGACTTGGATAAGTCAAATCAGCACGAACATATTACAGCTCTTCTCAGGCAGTCAACAAGAGCTGGGTAAGATCCACAATGCCTTTTGAGAAACAACTACAAATACTAAGCGACAACATCCAACCTCCCCATCCACTTCTAAAGTATCCACCAAGCGTCCCTTACAAAAGCCTCAATCACACCAAAAAATGGTAACATAGCCCCTTCTAAACCATATCGGAATTTTATTAACATGCTCGACAGGCCTTCGTCCAACAAACCCCCTCCTTCGGAACCGACACTGAGCCAGAAAAAGTAACTCTCTTTGATGCCCTCGAACTAATCCGTATCTCGGGCGAACCCTATATCCACGTCCCTAACAAGCAAATCCCGAACCACGGCGATTTATTAGACTTCTACTACGCATTACTGAAGCACTTAAAACCATGGCTGATGTGAGAGGCCAGACCTCGAACAACTCAAAGGTGTGGGTTCAATATTCAATTAAGAACTACGTGGTCTGTAAATACATGTTCCTCCTCTACTCTTATACTAAATGTAGCATTTCCATTGCATTCAACACTGTTCCATAGTATTACCAATCTTCTGCGTCATAGCATTCTATCTTATTCCATGGCGTTCCAGAGGCGGGGTCGCTTAGCTTAGCGAGGGCTCTAGGCCCGAGCCCCACTATGGGTTCTAACCCTCACAGCTGAAGAAGATATACATAACAAAGAACGGTATGACAGCTGTCTTTACGCGTGGTCATCGGCTCGATGGGAGGGATGGGAATCAGGCCGCTAAATCTGGTGCAGCTACCCTTCAAGCCTTCTGGAGGCAGGAATTGTGGGGAAAGGGGAAGGGTACTTTAATAGTTGGGAAGATTGAGATCGAGGTTAAGACTAACCCTCGGCCCGCGGATTTAAATCACGTATGTTCCTCTCCACTCACCCTTATGATGGGAATCCTCGCTAAACAGAAACACCAGGACGAATACGACACCGAAGAACCCTGCCACGGAATGCATCTCAATTGCGAAATCCTCCCCTCAAATACCACCAAAACCCAACCCCTCACATGCGACTATCCACACATGCTAATGACCCCCGTCGAACGTCGAGCTTTCGTCCTCCACGATCTCACCAACGTCTGGAAATACCTTGGAACCTTCTGCTCCCCTCTCTACATCAAGCTCTCCCCGTCGCAAATCCTCATCGCATTCCCTAAGACGCGAACAACTACGCGAACCCGGCCATTTACAGACCGAAAGCTACATTTCAAAGAGATAAACGGGGTGAAGAGTAGTTATGTGACGGATACGTATGTGGAGGAGACGACGGAGTATGGGTATGGGGATGAGCAGTTGAAGCTTAGTCGGGAACACCTTTTTAAGGCTGTAGATGAGAGTTTGGTTGAGGGGGGAATGCCGGTGGAGTTTTTCGCCGGCGTCGGTTAGGAGTTATGCGACGAAATTTAAAGGTTGAGGGGTATGTTGTTCTGATTATTAACTCTTGAGGTTGGGTGGTGGGTTGGATGGCGTGATGGAGTGTGTAGAACCCTTAGTACAGTATGTTATACTCCATGTTCTCTTCATTTCTGGCTTTTACTGACTTCCCCACCGCGTAATATTTTCTTTTTTGCTCTTTGCAAAAAGTCGGGATCTCAGCATGGCGTTAAGCGTTGGACTGTGGGAGGTTTGTCCACTAGTACGAGTACTTCTCGAGAATCGCTCTCTCTCTTCATATATGTCTTAACTACACGCTTCCTGGCGACTTCCCCAAAACCTGCCATTCTTTACATGTCGTAAAACAGCGTCTTATCTGACTAAACATCCCTAATACGGCCTAGAGTTCTTGCTTTACTGAGATCGTAGTAAGCTATATAGCTTATAAAAGAACTACGCAATTACTCAAGTAGTATTCAAGTACTACTCAAGTAGAGCAGAGTAGAGTAGCGTATTCTACTAATCAAGTAGTAATAAGTACTAAAGTTGACTGGTCGAGTAGTACTTGAGTACTACTTAAGTAGTAACGTGACTAAAACGTAAGCAAAGTATAAAACGATTGTCCCTATCTCTTAGACCATTCGGGGAATTCTTTGACAGTGATTTAGTAATTTAAATCTCCGTATACTATACCAAATATTTACAGCAAAAAAAGTCGTACACGTCCTTGATCCACTTGGAAAATTCCCCGAACGGTCCAGGAGATATAATAATTCTCATATATCTTTTCTTCTCTATAAAAAAACCCCCTACTATTATAAATTATTGTTTGCTATTAGAATAGATGAGATGTTCGACTCCAAAGCGCTCGGTTATATTATCGCTTATATAGTACTAACGATTAAGTCTGAGCCATTTACACTTTTTACACCAAAACTCGGCATAATCACCTGACGAGAAAACATAAAAGATAGCTAGCAAATATAAAATCCTTTATAAAATCTCTTTATCTTAACGTTTCCGTCCTTTCTATCTCTTCCTATTTTGTTAGGTAATATAAGGTATTATATAAAAAGCGTATAAAGTTGTCTATCTTTAGAAAAGTCGTATTTTACACTATATTCGACCTAAATTCGCCATAAAACTCAGTATGTCTAGAAGATTACAATATATTTTAATAAAGACCTTATATATAGCTTAATACACCTATATAAAACTACTAAGAAGGTACCTAACTATAAGTCCTGAAGAGGAATAATAGTTTTACTCTAAGTCTATATACTTATAAGCAAATAGAAACTAGGCAAATCGTCGATTTTTGGTGGGGTTCGGCTAAATGGCTCAGACTTAATCGCACCGACTGTACCTTGTATATGGGGGTCGCTAAGTCCGAACCATTATAGTAGACCGGCTAGCCGTGGTTCGGCCCGGCTTACTATACTACTCGGGTGGTACTTAAGTAGTACTCGAGTACTTGGCAAGTGGAGTAGAGCAGGGTAAAATTCTACTTAAGTAGAGTAGAGCCCTGGTTTAGACACTTTGTCAAACTCACAAATAAGTAACGGGAACTTCGTGACTGCTAGGAGACAATAGAACAAGTAAAACGAAAGTAGGCGGAGGTTCTAACGGCTACTTATATACGTTTAGATAGGGGTAACTTTTCACTAGTGTGGTAAAATGGCCAATTGTTAGAAGACGAGGGCATAATACAAGGATGGAATAAGCGATAGAGAGAGGTGCTAGCTAGGAGCGAGCGGAGCTGCTCTAATACAAGACGATCCTGACAGAGTGGAAGCCTTTAGAGTACCAAGCATTCACCTGGGCAACTGATACAGGGGTTTATGCAGCAGAGAGAGGAGTACAGGAGCCTCGTGCTGTAATGCGAGTACTAGAACCTCCCTCCCCTTTAGCACGAGAAGCAAGACAATATACAAGGTCGAGCAACCAAAATACCCCACTAATGTCCGTTGATAGTTTCTTACCCTGGCATAGTCTATAGACAAGGAGTAGGTTAAAGTAGGGCAGACCATTGAAGAACAGTTCTTTACCGCCCTTACTCTACTCTACTCTAATTATTTCTTATGTCAAAGTTTATTACCTATAACAAAGAATATAAGAGTCTCTCTAAATCACAATACACTTGTGTCGGCTTCCTTCTATCTTATAAGACCATTTACAAGGAAGCTTCTCGGGCGATTTACAGACAAAGGTTAGGTACCTATAAATCAAGAATACAAGAGTCTCTTTAAATCACGATTCACTTCTTTCGGCTTAGTTCTCTCTCGTAAGACAGTTGCAAGACAGTTGTAAGACCGTTTACAAGGAAGAGCTTCTCTAGTTATTTACAAAAGAAAAATAAACTTATCTTCTAGTCTATTACTATTTACAATATACTAGAGCTAGCAACAAACATGTTTCAAGCTCTTCTATTAGAGACACATCTCAATAACATAGGGGGGCCGCTAAAAAGCTCTACCACTTATCTTAGACTTAATCTTCTAGATACTTAGGATAATTTACAGTAGGATGTTTAAACAAAAGGCTAGAAGAATTCCTACATTACTTACTACGTGAATGTAGATACTTACTATCAGGTTATAATATTGATTGGATTGTCCGTAAGGAGAGAAGGAGAGCTCCTCACGGTAGAACTACCTAAGTGTCTATAAATGCCTCTATTCACTCGTAGCGGGGTTTATAACGTGCAAAACCATCCACTATAAAACTTGAAATTAGACGTTCACATTCACTCTCTTATCTTTCCATGAATTTAGTAGTAACTAAAGATAGTAACTAATAGTCGGCAAATAGAACTCGATTCTATAGAATTTTAGAATTCTTCTAGAGCCTTTCTTAAATAGAATAGAATATTTCACCATAGAGACTATAATTCTATAGTTCTATAGAATCCTAGAGAGTATAGCTTATACTATAGTACTAGTATTATAAGTAATAAGAAAGTAGGAGTTAAAAGAAGTAAATATCAAACATCTATATACTATACTTTATATTAGATAAAAGAACTATTCTATAAGTTATATAATTCGCTTTTTAATAGAGATTCTATAAAATAAAAGGTTTATAATAAATTAAAATATAATTCCGGTTACTAAACGCTAATAATAATATACTAGAGTAATCTATAAATAGTTATAGTATATATATAAGGCTATAAGCTTTCTAAGTATTACTATACTTAAAAGTAATTAACTCTATAAATAGAAAATATATAAAAATAAATAATAGAAGTAAATATAATAAACTAATAGCTATTAAATATTTTATCTTATCTTATCTTATCTTGTCTTGTTAAGAATCTTAAAATTCTTCCGAAATAATCTTTATACGCTACTACCTATATCCTAAAACCACGCCTCTAATATCCTTTTTCGAAGAGATTAATACTATTAAATAATATAAAGTAAATAATCTAATCTCTTTCTAAAATTATTCTTATATACTCCTATCTATATCCTAGAATAATATACTACTAACTCCCTTTCTCTAACCCTTTGAAACTACGAAATTGTACTAAATACCTTCCCTTATCTTAAACTACTAATATATTTTAATATTCCTTTCTACTTCTCTTACACTCTAAAAAACAATCTAAATATCACAACAATCTCAAAAAACAAAACACTTATCTTTTACTTACGCGAATACCTCTACAAACATCCCAAAAATACAACGAACCTTCATCCCAACTCAAAAAAGGCTCAGCTGCAAGGTGAATGATACACGTGACCTAAGCGAGACAAAGGGGGTGAATACGACATCTAAACCACAACAACGGCAACCATCGGAAATTACCTCCTTCGCGCTAGCATCCAAATCGCGCAATCTAATTGGTCACCCACCCTACACCATCTATAAAACCCCCACTTCGCAATCTCAAACTCTTCAAACCCCCCAACACCCACAACACCCGTCCCCGCGCGCAACACCACCACAATGAACGATCTATGTACATCCCCCACCATGACGGACCTCTTGAAAAAATACCCGCAGGCCCGCAGAAATGATAATACATCAGGAGAACATCGAGAAAGCAATGGCTTCACCATTACGAGCGAAGGTGAGTACAGCGAGGTACGACATAAGAATATACGACTTGAGTGTATCCGACGGGGTCTAAGCACCGAGGGACTTTTACGAGACCTGTTTTTGCGTCTGGATGAGGATGATAAGGCGAAGGCTTTGCGGTGGAATAGGAGGGGTTATGAGAGGTTGGTGCGTGGTGAGAGGAAGAGGAACCGTGTGGAGGTTTGTATTTCATTTCTTTTTTAGAATGGGGATGGGGTTGACAATTTTTAGGCTGATGATGAGGATGAGGATGAGGAGAAATCCAAACTATCCCCCGCTTCACGACAAGTCCAAGCTAGGTTTCTGAAAGACGGTGCGAATACACCGTATATCTTCATCCCCTTCTCGGCATTCGCCATGAGACCCACAGATGAAGAGCTACAGACTCTCTGTCCGCTATTCCGCACCTTCGATGCGCAGCAGGTGCTTGTGGGACATACGAGTTACATTGTGAGATTCAGACACCATGTCGGAGGCGACGAGTATGCGCGGAGAGTCCATGGACTGCTTCCTCAATACATTACTTTCAAGTCTGGTGGCTTAGGAAAAGTGACCCTCAAGCTATCTAACCCCGCATGTCCTTCAACCTCACCCGTCCCCTCAACAAAAACTGACACAGTGACTATAGGACGAGCCCGAAATATCCATGCTCGCACAACCCATCCACCACGAAAGCAAAAAAGAGCGCGAAGCATGCTTTTCCAACGTCCCCTTACTCCCCATCATCGGAGACCGACCCTACATCGTACTCCACACCAGCAGTCCCCCCACCACCGAAACGATCCTCGCACTACGCAAGAAAGTCGAGCGAAGCGCCCCAGACTTCGTCAAGGGCGATCCGGACGGTGACATCTACATCTGCTACTCCGCCAATTCCGACGGAGAGAGAAACATGAACCTAGTAATGAAGCGACGCTTCAATGAGGGCTGGAAACGTGAGGATGGCGAGGACATACCAGCCTGGATGATAGAGAGCTCTACTGCGATCCGGGCCCGTGAGTTGGAGAAGGAGAAAGAGCAGTTGGAACCAAATCGGCTACCCGTTCCCGAAGCGAGTCTCCCGCGCTTGACGTGGGAAGTGCGAGATTTCCTGGCCTCAATGAACAACGTAGATTCAGAGCACGCAAAGAAAGAAACAGAGAAGGTCATCGACGAGAAACGCGTCCAGCGCGAAACCGCAGCCCGAAAACGCTTGCTCCAAGAAAACCCAACGTACCTCGCGAAACTCGCCGTGGAGAGAGAAAAGCAAGCCCAAGAAGAAGCTGAGAAGAAAGCTGCCGCGGAGGAGAAACGTGAGGTTGACAAGAAGAAGCAAAAGCTTGAGGATGCTGCTTCCCATGAGAGAACGAGGAAGATCATGGAGGTGCTTCGCGCGAAGGATGTGCAGCTGCGTGAGAAGGAGGCAGATTATTTTAATCTGGAGCCGGAGAATAGGCGTGAGCAGCATGTTACTTTTTATGTTGGGGAGATGAGGAGATCTGGTTGAGTAACTTGAGTTGTTGTTGGATCATTTCGTCGGGAAGGGAATGTTGTTGTATAAGGAAGGGGTGATCTTTATGGTGTGGAGTAATTTGTTTTGTTGATTTTGAGGTGTGATGATGGTAGATGGTCTTTTGCAAACAATTGAGGTGCTATTGTAATTTTAGGCAACAAAATTGTACCCAAGTCCAACGCCGCCACCTTTCTGAGAACAAGTAAACCAACAATCACACACGTCATAGCACAAAACCAGGTATAAAGAGCCCAAAAGAGGTATCCCCAAAGTTCTCATATCAGAAGTGTATCAATTCCACCTACTTTATATATCCAAAAACGCCAAAAGAGGTAGCTCTGCCAAGGGGGGTATCTAAAGCAAATTCCACACCACCAAAAAACCCACAGTGCCAAACTCACAATACCAATACTGAGACAAGAAACGAAGCCAGTATAACACATACACATATCCAACTGATTTCCAACGCCTTTACAGACCAAACATATTCTACCTCCAGAAACCTGGATAACTTTGAAGAAGTGGGAAATATTGCCACCCACATGACACGAACATACAAGTCCAGTCACCCGTCAAGAACTGCGTAATGTTATCAAGAAAGACGGTTATCCTGCGAACCAAAGCCTTCCGGGTGTGGAGCGATGTAGCGTTTGTTCCTGGTCAACTAAACAGTGATACTGACATGGTTTCTCCCATCCGCTTCTTCGATATGAAAGCCAAACACTAATCGGAATAAATCCTTCAAAAACGAATATCGTCCACTGTTCATCATCCACTTAACACTCTTTGCAACATCAGCCGCATTCGCTTTTCTCCCCATCGCGGGTAGCGCGTTTGCATTTCTGAATGTCGGATCTCCCAGTACCAAGTTTCGATACGCGTTAAGTAGAGCTGCATGCGCTGGCGAAGAGCCAAAAGACCCCGTGGGAAGTGCTTTGACAAAGTTTTGCAGGGCAGGTGGATCGTTTTTACTTGGTGCTGAAGTTGTTGGTGTTGTGCGAGTAAACCCGGCATTCATGGCGGCTTTGAGGATAAGGACTTTGAGACGTGTGAGGTTGACATCCTCGTTGTTGGTAGATGTGATTGTACTAGCGGACTTCTGGCTTCCTTGGGAGTAGCCAGAGAGATTCGAAGTTGCACTAGACCATCGGGCATTTGAAGCACGATTTCCTTCAGTGCCTAGCACTAGTATATTGGGGATAATTGGTGAAGTCTCTTCAGGTGATATAGGTGTATCCTCAAACTCGGTAGTGGGAGTCTCAGGCTCACGATATCTCCCATGGCGTTTGGCAGGCTCTGGACTCTCAGTCAAGCTCTTGAGGCTGCTGCTCGTCAAACTGTTACTCTTTGTATGCGAAGAACGACTCATCTGATCAGACGTTTGAGCAAAGGTCGTTTGTGATGGTCTCGGTGTGCCTCGTTCAGGTCTAACTTGGGTCCACCCCTCACGAAATAAATCGCATAATTCCCAACAAGCTTGGACCGCTGACCCAAGAAGCTCTTCGTCTGCTGCCTTGCCGTCTCGTTTATTTTGCCGAAGGCTAAAAAGCATTTCAGCTAATGACCAACAAGCGCGCAAAAGCGCATCGGTTTCTTCTGCAAGCTCATTTCGCTGCTTCATAAGGCGGTGGCAGAGAGTGATGTAAAAGTCGAGTGTCCTTTCACGGAAGGCCTCAGGAAGCGACCTGTCATGTGTATTGTAAAGATGGTTGTTTAATTCAAAACTTACTCGCAGAACGGAATCTGCAACCTCGTCTTTATGTTGTCTTATGTCAAATAATGATTGACAAAAATCCCGACAGAGGTCTAAAGTGGGTCGAACGTGGGTCTCATGGTCCTCGTCTCGACTATCGTAGAGTTTCTGACATAATCTCCAACAGCATTTCCATGCTTTTTCATGAGCATCACCTGTCCCAGAATAGCTGAATATTCTTTCACGGTGTATGGAACTGAGACTTGCAAGGGTATTGCACAAGGTCCAGCATTCATTAAGTGCTGTCTTCAGGGCATTGACTTCCTCACCAGAATTGTGAACAGTAAGAGTATCAAACTCATCTTCAGTCTCTTGTTGATCTTCTGGAATTCCTGCGAACCATGAGTCAAGTGGCTGGCTACTGGCAATAGCTGACAAACCTTCGAGGCTGTTTGTGCTACTCGACCGTCCCAACTTGCTGCCACCGAAAGCTTCAACTTCCTGGCGGGTTTGAGCTCGAGGCGTCGCATTATCAAGTCCAAATTTGATAGGCGCGACATCTGTGGAGATTGGTGGGGGGGATATGGGGCTTGGTTGTGTTGCCTTTCTTGCTTTAGTTATGCATTTGAGGAGGGGTAGAGGGGAAATAATGTACCTTATCATTGGGCGCAAGCAAACCCATTTTGGTATTGCTAACCTGGGATTCGTTCCCATCATGATGATAAGGAATGGGTGTCGCCCTGTCTGTCACTGGCGGTTGTTCTGGTGTAATGGTTTTTGGTGGTGTAGCCTTTTCCCGTCAGCAATGTTCTCCTTGCGCAATATCAGACCAAACTTACAAAATTCCTGAAGCCTTCGGGCGCATGTATAACTGATACTGTCGATTCGTCGTCGAGAGTCGTTCGAAATCGATCGGGTAGGTTGGTACTCAGTCGCTTCAACTATGCATCATGTTAGCACTATGCGCCGCGCTCATTCATCGCAAACTTACTGCTGTTTGCTGCACGCCGGAATCTTCGATACTCGACGCGGAATCAATTTCTTCAGCATCATCTGCTACCTCATCCTCGATTTCCGTCGTTTCCGTGCCATTCGAGGTGACGGGCGATGGACCAACCATATCACTGGGACTTGGGCTGGCCATTTGGGCGCTGCTGGGAGACAGTCCGTAGTCAAATGGGTGTGGACGAAGCCCGTTTGATTCTACGGAACTGCGTGCGGAACTAAGACTACTTGGTCAATTTCACATATAGAGGCAATGTGATTGGGAGGAGGTGGGGGGTGCACGAACAGCGATTGAAAACGCGGGGAGTGCGGTGCTGGGGAATTTGGGGAGAGAGAGAAGTCCGTGTAGGGCGAGAGGGCAGACATGATATTTGCCGGAGAGTGGACCAGGGGACTCTCCAGTGCCATTGTCGAGTCGGAGCGAATCAAGCTGGGCGACAAAGCAAAGCAAAGCTGGTATGGTGGTGGGCAGGAGTGGGCAGCAGCAGCAGCAGTAGGCAGAGTGTAATGCGAAACTCTCCTGTTCCTGGACCTGATCCTGTTCCTGTTCCGGCTGGATGTGAGTGGCAATAATGGCTATGTGAGTGGGTGTGGGTGTGGGTGTGAGTGTGATTTAATAGAACAAGAACACAAAGATGCAACACGCAACACGCAATCCGGCGAGGCCTTCCTAGCCGGGTCTATACACCTTTCTCGAGAAGACGGGGACGGGGGGTCGTGCAACACAATAGTAACGAAGCCAATTGTTGGTGGGAGGCGGGGTGGGTCAGACTTCAAGGCTGAATGGGGGATTTCGGTATCTATCACCATGTGGATGTGGATGTGGATGTGGATATGGATGTATGTGGATGTGTCTTTGCTGATTTCGTCGCTACAAGTCCGGGGCCTTGAAGCTGACGGGCAAGACGAGGGTGAGGAAAGCTTTCCTCGTACGAGGCAAATGGATACTGTATTTACAACTCATCCCACCTTGAGCGTGCATGCAGAAAAAGTATAGAAAGCAAAAGTGAAAAACACGAAAATTGGTACGTAACTACTACTAACTCAAAACATGAATGTACCGGGACAGTGCTCGATTTGATAGATGCTGGTGGATCTTGAGGGTATGAGTGGAGGGGAGCTGGTGAGAGCTCCAACAACAGGGCTGGCACGGGACACCACGCGCATGCGGAGCTCTTTTCGTAAAACCCGAATTGGGTTGGGAATTCATTGCTCCCACCAAGAAGGACCAACTGCCTTGGTCCCGAAGGACTGGTTTGGGCCGTTTAGAATTGGTTGGTGCCGCAAATAACGTAGAAAAGGGGCTCGGTTGTACATGTCACTCACGTAGCATGTCGTGAGCTCGGTGAGAAGGTGGCTTTTTCACCACTTCGCGATAGGTAGAGCTTCTCGACTTCAATTGTAATTCAAATCCCGCTTTGTGATAGTATCACTACAGGCTTATCCCAGCCTCGCATCGAGAGTCCTGGTTGGAAAACGATCGGTATGATTGATCACCCATGATCGCTTCCTAGCACCATAAACCAGACGCTGCGAATAAACATCGTTCCCCAACCGAAGCCCCCTGCTCCTCTTTTACAGTTGTCTGCAGGTTGATTTAGAGCCCAAGCCAGTCCTGCCCGCGAGCACCAATCACAGCCGCATATGCGCGTCTCTTGATTGAGGGGCTGCATGAGCGTCGGCGCTTAAAAGTTTTGAGCCCACTCCAAAGTCGCAGAAGCTTGCCATTTCTCAATTACCCCTCCACGCCTCCAACACCTCTATCAACCTGGGGTCTCTATCCCTAGACCGCTTCTCCCACGAGTTCATCAATCGAAAATTCCATGTAACAAGGGTTTAACATTTTAAACTTCATCTGCCGGTCCAATACATGTCCAATAAAGTACCAAGCACTTGCTCTGGCTATCACATCATAATTGGTTACTTTATATCTTGAATTGACACTTCACGGATTGTGGAGGGTCGCCTTTCCGCGGGATGGGCCGTGCTTAGCAGCTTGAATGATTCCGAGAAGGCATGAAAAAATGGATGTGATCCGGTACTGAATGGCGATCCGCCCATTGGGGCGGATATGGATGTTGGGGAGCAACAAAAGATTCAAACATGACTCAATGACAAAAGCAAGATGTCTTTTCTCCAACTGCGAGCATTGCAGATTATGTGACGGGGCAAGAAACTTTTGGCAGTAGGTCATCAGAATTTCACTTGAATGCTGATGTTTTTCTGCAGCCTCTATTCCAACAAGCCTCAATAACTGGCAGATTTTACGAGAATTCTCAGTCAGCTGCGCCCTCGAAAGCAGCCCAGACTGATATAAATGAGAAACAGTCACAGATTAAACCGACAAGCAATTCCGTCATGTTAGCTCCAAAAATACCGCTTGCCAACTTCTTGAAGATGCAGTAAGAAACAAAGACCCACTAGGGACCTACTTTCTGCGCTCGCAGCGCACCCGAGTGGAGACGTAAATGTCGAAGAAACTCGCTAAAGCAAGAAAAGCCTCGTTGGATGTTGGTCTGTTTCTTTTTCCCTCGAACCAACATTTCCAAGGATCTTCAAGCCTCGTGGCTTGGAAGAACTGGTGCAACAGAAGAAAACCCAACAACGGCCCATATGCGCTGGCCTGCGGCCTCAAGGCACTGTCGGGTATATACCGTCAAATTTGAAGTGTTAGAATGCTCTCTAGCAAGAATTATAGCGTGGTTGGAAGAATTGGAGAAAGAAATATGCAGGATCATGCGTTCCAATGTGCTGGGTTTCCTGGAGCGAAGCAAAATAGGTATAGACCATCTGATATTAGGATCTGAAATGTGTAGTCCCGAAGACTCTCCCAACCCGTAACGCCATTTTCAATACGCCTCTAAAATAACCGCTGAGTTTCCCAACCGACTCCGATGCCTGCGACTTATGCGTTCGATTATTCAATTCAGAGCTGCTTTCTTTTGGTCTCGGTCCGCTGGGTTGTACCTGTATGGGCATTTAGTATAAGCGCGCAAGAAGAATCTGGACAGCCGAAAGCCGCAATAGATATTCGAGCAAGGCAGAACTGACTTGAGGAGCTTCTCGATCAGATCCACGTGTGTCATGACCATACGACGACAGCAGTATCTTTTGCAGCCAAGTTGGTCCATGGCGTCCCTTTAGAATTCGTCAGCGCTCAGAGCTTTCCATGCCATGAATTTGCAATCCGTAGAAACTAACCCATCCGCGACTCCCTCGTCAATAAGCTTCAGATAGCGCTCCCAAAGGTCTCCGACAACCTGTATTTACTGCGTCAGTTGAGGTATGAGGGTCGCTGAGGTGAAGGGACTATACCTTTCCGCAAGAGAAACACCGCACTGGAATAATCATTGTGCACGCAATTAATGGATAGACGTAGACTCGATATGACAGGTAGGGCGTTGCGAAATGGTGTAAGTGATCGGTGGATGTGGTGGGGAGCTGTAGTCTTTGTACTGGGCTCAAGGTTGCGCTCAAAGAAGGTGATCGGGAGGCGGCGCTAAAAAAAATGTTCACGCCTTTTTCGCAAGATCAGCAGCCTTGTCTGCGTGATAAGGAAAAAAATATTCAACCCCACGACTGCCTTCACCAATTCTCTGACAACAGCATGGCTTCCGTTCTGAAGCGCAAGAGAGGATCTCTGGAGGTCCAGGATGCCACGAAACGTACGAAATCAGTCTTAGAGGCTGTGAAAAATCCAATCCAAAATATCGGCGCAGCTGCGGGCTGGGATAAAGCTTTTGGTCCACGAAACACAACAACTACCAGCCTTATAAAGATGGAGAAGGTCAATGGGGCCGCGGAAGATGGCGACAGAAATTCACAGTCGCCAGAAGCCATTGACTTTGACTTGATGAATGCTGGCGACTTTGATCCAGATGCTGTCGTTGTGAACAAACCAAAGCCATGGGCGCTCTCTGAGTCTATAGGTGGGCGCATGCTGAACCATGAGCCAGTGTTCTCTGCAGATGAAAAGTAAGGATCAATGGTATTCATATTATAGTCCTTGAACTGACTGTCAATTGCTTAGAAATCTTATTTTGGCCAGCCGAACTACGCTCCATGTCTATTCAACCGCAACATCTCTTCTCACCCGATCAATTAAGCTCAATATTGTTGAACCGCTACCAGAAACTCGAATTGTTTCATTTTCCCTGTCTCCAACAACACCAAATCTAGTGTGGGCCGCTTTCTCGGATGGGAGGATTTTCAAAGTTGACTGGACTACGGGCGAGGGTGCCGAGGACTCTTGGAGGATATCTTCTACGGGGTGCATATACATGACGGTCGCATCCATGGAGTCGGCTGGAAGGAGAAGAGACATTGTTTTCACAACTGAAATTGGAAAAAACGACGTATGGAGAGTGACGGCAAACGAGCTCACGGCGACTGAGCCTATGGCAAGGACAATATACACATGTAACAGTCGGATCAGCTTCATCAAAACTGGATACGAAGGAGCTGTTATCGCTGCGACATCTGGAAATAAAATCATGCTCGGAAATTTGAGGTCAGCCAACTTTGGCACGGTGGACAAAATACGATACGAATTCCGGGTTTTCGAATCAGCAGACACCATTTGCTCCTTGGACCTGAAAGTCTCCAAGAGACCTGCAGCAGAAAACCCATCGCACCAGTTGAGCCGTCCCATTGTCGATTTAGTGGTTGGAGATGTCCTCGGTTCCATCTTCGTACACGACGATCTCTTAGCAAATCTTCACCGACTTCAAGACGGGAAACTTCCTAAAGGCATTAGCATTACACCACGCAGATTACATTGGCATAGAAAAGCTGTACATACTGTAAAATGGTCTTTAGATGGTATGATTTGTGTTATGGCAGTAAAAGTTTAGACTAACATTTTGCAGGGAACTACATCATTTCGGGTGGAACAGAAACAGTTCTCGTGATATGGCAATTAGATACAGGAAAACAACAGTTTCTTCCTAATATGTCTGCCACCATTCAAAATATCACAATATCCCCCTCAGGATCATCATATGCCATTCAGCTAGCTGACAACTCATCATTGGTCTTGTCCACCGCCGAACTTCTCCCCACCACCAACATTTCAGGTATCCAAGCAAGCGTCTTGGCTGACGAGAACGCTCCTGGATCTGAGATTAAGAGAGTATGTGAAGAATCCTGGGAAAAACCCTTGGTTCAGCGTACTCCGGCAGTTATCAGCCCTGTTTCCTCCTCTGAGTTGTTCCTGGCTGTTGGGCAAACACAAGAAATCAGTCGTGCCAAACCCCTAATCATCGGATCACCGTTTCTTCAGAACTTTGATCTTAGATCTGGCCATAGTTCTTCCCGTCAAGCTCTCACCAGGGCGCATACAACCAACAAAAATACTTCTCCGAATGCCCATCGACTGTCAGAGCCAAGGGTATCTCATATGAAAATATCATATGATGGTAAATGGCTGGCTACCGTTGATGAGTGGCTCCCACCAGCAAGAGATTTGCTTCACCTTGGTCTTAGCTCAGACGAAGCTGAAAATGAACGACTAAAGAGACGAGAGGTGTTTTTGAAATTTTGGGAGTACAACGAGGCAATCGCTTCCTGGGAGCTTATCTCACGTATCGACGCACCACATACTGTTGCACCTAACTCCGCTTCCCCTGGCCGGATACTTGACCTCGCGGCTGACCCGGAATCCTCTCGATTTGCAACCATTGGTCAGGATGGAGTTGTTTGTATTTGGTCGACAAAAGCGCGAAAGAGAGATGGTGTTCTGGTGAAGAATCCAGCCGGCAAAGCTTTGCGCAATTGGCGCTGCCAGCATGCCATCTCCGTTGGAAAGCTAGAATTGCCAGAAGAGCTTGGCAAGGTCTATGAACCTGTTACTAGCGGCAGTGTTGCATTCTCTGATGATGGATCCGTTTTAGCTGCAGGATGCAGTGGCCAAGCTGGTGTACTTAATTTCCTCGATTCACAGACAGGTATCATCCGCCATTCACAGACGAATCTCTTCGAAGGAGAGATCATCAATATGGAGTTTCTTGGGCAGGACTTGATAATCCTTGCAAACCGATTATCAGTTTACGATTTGGTGTCGAACGATATCCGGCTTCAAATCAGGTTGAGTTCCCGCCTGGTAGACCTGTCTGTAGAGCAGAAGCAAGAAATGGTGCACTTGGCAGTCGATAAAAAGAGCAGAACATTTGCTGTCGCCTTGCCAACCTCATATTCTGGCAAGAAGGAGGACAAAACGTCGCTGAGGCACACATCTTCTGAATTGTTTGTTTTCCAACAAGACAACCCCGAACCTGAACTCCAAGAGAGTCTATCAACATTAGTGACAGCTTTGTTGCCGGCTGGTGATTTTGATGGGTATCTTGCTCTCGATGCAGCGGCCGAAGTTCGTACAGCGTATAAGAAGGGAACACAAGTCGTTACCAATTTGGCTCAATCCACGTCCGCTCTACAACTGGAAGAAGGCGTGGAAGAGCCTGCCGAAGTACCTGTACCTGAGATAGAAGGTGTTGTGGATGACGACGATGATTCCGAGATGGAACTAGCCATTCGTACCACTACGAAGAACGAGGATGATGACGATGAGGATAACGACACGCCTGTTGTAACACAACAAGAACTGTCTGAAATCTTCGATATTGGTCCCGCTTTTGCCCTCCTTCCGATAGAGGAAATGTTTTATCAAGTTGCGGGTTTGTTCTCTAGCAAACCACATCTTGTACAAAGCGTTTCATAAATTCAATATTCGTCAATTGGGGTGGATTTATTTGCATAGCGGATCAATTGTTTTCGTACTTCAGCGTCGGGTTGTTTTGTACTGAATGGGTGTTTGGGATAGGTACAAAAAGCACTTTTCCGCAGTTACATACCACCAAAATTATATGGTCTATTTTCATGTATCGCTATTTTCAGTTTTGTAAATGTCATTTTTTGAACCATACATCATTTGCCTTTTCTGCTTGTCGAGGGAGCCTGAGTGCTGAGATATTTTTCACCAAGTGAACAAAGGAACGCTAGTCACGTTCCTAGTCTGCTTTGCGTTTGGAGAACTTGAAAGGCAATGCATATCACTTTTATGTCAGGGTGCTGGTCGTTTGAATTGCAACCTTTTGCCACTTCCATTCATCAGCCAGGGATCATTGGTCCAGCTCGAAGGTGGGGTAGTGGGGTAACATCTCACTCCCACTTGCAGCTAAGCTCGACATATTGCGCCATACTCGTAACTAGCTCACCTCATCCAGCTACAATAACAAGAAACATGAACAACCCCCAAACAAGCCCTTTTCTACTTTTCCTTCCCTAATCCCTCCACACCTTAATCTTTGTCAAAATGTCCTTTGACGCGATCCCCATTCTCGACCTCTCACTAGCTAAAGACCCCATCACCAAACCGGAGTTCCTCACCGAACTAAGACATGCTCTGTTAGAAGTTGGGTTTTTGTACTTGAAGAATGTGGGGATTCCGGAGGAGTTGACGGAGAAGGTTATTCGGGAGGGAGTAGGGTTTTTTGAGTTGCCTTTGGAGGAGAAGTGAGTTCTCTATCTTGTTTCCTTTAGTGGAAGTCTGAGATATGCCGAACCTACCTGAATTCAGACCCAAAAAAGAGAAGAGAAATACACACACTAAGACGATATCCCCAGACGGAAGATCGAAATGAAAAACGCCCCCTCCTTCCTAGGCTACTCCCGTCTCGCCGCCGAAATCACAGCCCACTCCATCGACCACCGCGAACAAATTGATCTCTCGACCGACCACCCACCGCGTACGCCCTCACAGCCTCTATACCGGAATCTTTTTGCACCTACACAATGGCCTTCCGAGGAATACCTCCCGAATTTCAAGAACGTGTACTCGGAGTACATCACCAAGATGGGGGAGATTAGTATCTACTTCACCACCCTGATTGCGGAAGCCATTGGCCTCCCTCCAACAGCGTTCAACAAGTATTTCGATGCGGATCAACAGCATAAGTTGAAGATCGTGAAGTATCCCGATCTAAAAGAACTGGGAATAGAAGGGGAGGGACAGGGCGTAGGACCACATAAAGATAGTATGTTCACAAGTTACCTGTTACAAGTAACGAATCACAAAGGCCTCCAAGCCCAGAACCTAGCAGGGTCATGGATCGACTGTCCCCCCATCCCAGGAACGCTCGTCGTCGCCATCGGACAAGGGATGGAGGCCCTAACACAGGGCGTCTGCATGTCCACCACGCACCGCGTGCTATCTCCTGCTCCGGGGACGGGAGCGCGGTACTCGGTTCCGTTCTTCCAGGGCGTGAGTCTAGATGCGGAGTTTGAGGAGCTGAATGATTTGGAGAATGGAGGGGGGGTGGGACTGGTGCCTGAGGAGATTAGGAGGATGAGAGAGGAGGTTGTGAGGAGGAATGGGGGACGGTTGGATGATGTGGAGTTTACGTTTAAGGGGGGTACTGGGTTGAAGACGCTTGGTGAGGCGACGTTGAGGAATAGGGTTAAGAGTCATCCGGATGTGGGGGGGAGGTGGTATCCTGATGTTTTGGAGGAGATTAGGAGGGAGCAGGCTGCTACTAGAGGATGAGAGGACAGAGGTGGAATGCTTGTATGATTCTGGGCTGTGGTTCTTTGATAGAGATAGCCCTGGATTGTTCTGAGGTGTTGATTTTATGAGCCGCACCACTCGAGCAGATGCAGAGTACGACATGAAAACTGAGCAGTGGGATTTGCGGGCCAGAATTCATGGGAAACCTTTGGCATTCTGGGAGTTTGGGTTCCATGAAGACTTCATAGTGCAAGAAGATCACTGTAACTGAAGCTATCAGTGGCTATCCCACCAGAATCTCCTCTAACCTGCACAGCCGTAATAACAAGCTGTATTTGTTAGGATCAGCGCTACTACTCGCAGTACATTTGTAAGAGCATCCAATACCATAGGTACTTCAAGACAAGCATTTTATTGTCAACGCCCAACTTTACTTGCCTCCTTGGACTCTCCTTGGAGGCCCTCTGTGGTGCCGTGGTGGAAGATGATAGATGAGGAGCGGGTGATATGGTGAGAATGAAATGTAAGAATACTGGATATGTTGTTATATTTGGTAGTATCTAAATAGTTTCAATCAAGGAGAGTACTCTAATAAGTATAAGTTCTGAATTGTTTGTTTGCCTTGGACTTCTTCTCTCGAGTTTGATTCTCTTTATCATGTAAGGAGGACGGAGAAGAGGCTCTTGGTCAAGGCTAAGACGAATAGATATGCGTACTTCTTGACACGAAATATGGTCTAGGACAAACATTGGTATTGATACGTTGGTTCTGTTCCCGGTCGTTTCTATACTTACCCTAAACGTAGCAAAGCGCTTGAAGCATTCCAATCCCAGAACGACCATCACGAGGTGAGTATGTGAGATGTGTATCACAGTTCCATTCATGTATGCGACTCTGTCTATGTTAATTCCCAACGCCTGTCGCTATCATAAAAGACCCCCGCCATCGCCATCATACCCTTCGTCTCATCGTAAATCTCCAAAGCAAATCTGCCCCATATCACATGTTGCCATTCAGCAACAAGCTTTTGTCTACTGTGGTAGTTGACGTCTCTTTTGTCTTTGCCCACATATCGAATCTAGCGCATCTCATCTATTTTCCAAAGGTAGGGAAGCAGTCCTCGATCGTCTTGCTGTGCTTGTTCGTGGCGTGCTCGGTCAATCTGACAGGTGTGGATATTAGCCAAATGTCCCCTGAATCTTTATCTTGCGCCAACTTCAACTTCAGATACAAGCATGCCTTCCACGCCGCAGAGAGACGGCCAATACAATCCATTGTTTCCATACGATCGGCTGAAACTTCTTGTCTCATATTTTTCTGCGGCGCAGAAATATCGCAAGGTGGACTTACGCTGGGGCTCTGGTGGTCTTCAAGAACGTCGACTTGCAAACCACACACTGGATATCCATAGCCTTCTCGTTGGCCTTGAGTTGCGATTTGGCGGCGCCCTTGGTGTCTTTGGCGTTGCGCTCACGCTTGGATGCTGCTTTGGCTCCCTGTTGCGGAATTGTTAGGACATGTTGTTGCCTTGCGAAGCCGATGGAGGGGCAGTAGTGGGAGGGAAGCGCTTACGTTGCCTCCTCCCATTTTTGCGGCTGAAGAGGTTTAGTTGAGAAAATGAGTATGTGGAGAGTTGTATGAGACTCGTGTGAGTTGTTGAGATGTTTCTTGAGAGGAGTACGAGTGTTCTGCGGTGGAGGAGGAATCGTTGAAGTCAGATGTTGCGCTTCGACAACAAATCGGCGGTCTCGCTTCTTTGTCGCTCCAGAAAAAAAGTTGCGATCAGACAAGGATTGTGGCTGAGAGCGCCAGCGCGCCACACTGGTGGTGTGGCTGAACCGCGCTAAGGACCCTTGCTTTTAGCGGCTCTCGGCTATTTGCTCAGTCGCGTCGCATATATTAAACCGCGTTGGAGAGTTTCCTTCTTCCTTCTTAAATATTTCACACAAAATTAAAATCCGTCATTTTACGCGTTAATTGCATCTGAATGCTTCGAAACATCTTCGGGAAACAGGATACCAGCCCGCAAGACAACACCATGGCGAACACCATCACCATCTCCCAGTTCAAGGAGACTTTGGGTCGCTACCCTAGTGTTCTGGCTGCCAAATCTAGGGCTCGTACGTATTTCCTTCTCTACCATCTCCTCAGAAGAGGTGAGAGATCGATTGACCATTACAAATGCTGATTCACCCAACAGCGAAAGAAGGAGCTCCTTCCATTCAGGAGTTGGACAAGTTTCGATATATCGAGGCCCCTTCACGCTTGTCAAAGAACTCCAAACGTGTCATGACCATTACGGATATCAATAAACTCGTTCAATGGAAGCTGTAAGTCAACTCACATTTTTTACTCCTTTTTGCTTTTACACATGCTTCCAGTCTAAGTTTACATAACTTCTCATGTTTGTCTTGGCGACATACAAACAAAAATGACATAATCTATGCACTTTCCCCCTTTGATCTGAAACGATAGCTAATCATTCCACAGTAACCACGGAGCCTATCGCCCAGGTCTCTCCAAACGTGTCGCATCCAACACAGATGAAAAGATTGAAGAAGCCACCGAGGATGGTTTCTCCCACTACGCCAAGAACCCCAATGACATCAAGGTAGTCATCGAGAAGTTGTCTGCCTTGAACGGTATTGGTCCGGCTACTGCTTCTCTTCTTCTTGCTATTCATGATCCAGACAATGTTATCTTCTTCAGCGATGAGGTCTATTCTTGGTTGGTCAACAACGGCAAGAAAAGCACCCTCAAATACACCATCAAGGAATTTGAGGAGGTCTACACGAAAGCCGAGGCTCTTCACCGAAGACTTGGTGTAAACTACATTGATATCGAAAAGGTTGCATTCGTTACCATCAAGGAGAATGAGCCCGTTCACGTCCCAAAACCAAAGAAGGAGCCATCTGGTCTTCCACGAGGTCGCCCCAAGTTGGCTGAGGCCGACAAGAAGCCAAAGAAGGAACCTTCTGGACTCCCAAGAGGCCGTCCTCGCAACCCAGAGAGCAATGCCAAGCCAAAGGCGACAGAAACACCAGGCAAGAGAGGACGATCAGCTGGTGTCAAGGCAGAGGCGAAGAGCCCAGCGACCGCAAAGACCCCGGCAACACCAGCTTCTGGCAAGGGTCGAGGAAGACGAAAGAAGGTCGAAGCTGAGTTTGATGCTGAGGGTGAGGTTGATGATACACCAGCGCCAAAGTCATCTGCCAAGCGCAAGGCTGCTGAGGATCCAACACCAAAGGGTAGAGGAAAGAAGGCCAAGGCTTAAGGAGTCTCTTTTTCTTTTTCCTTTTCCGGAATATTTGAGATTTGGGTGGGGGATTGCTTGGTTTGCTATGGGTTCTTTGACTTTTTTAGGAGAATTGGTGTACATTATTGAACAGGGAGGCACAAATGTGATTCAAGGCATAGCTTGGTCTTCAACATGGAAAAGCATCAAGCCCTTCTGGCCTCTAGCAGAATGGAATAAAATGATTTAACTTAAATCACCTCTCCCGAGTATATCTTGTGATTTCAAAAGTCATGGGCGTGATATGTAAACTCTTGAGGCTAGGATTCAAGGATGGTTGCCCTTCTAGACTCACTACTGGCAATAATCTCTACGGGTCTCTGTATATAACCAGATGATTACTAAGTCCAAATCAATAGCTGAACGGTAGGTAGACAATGGGAGAGTTAGTGAATCGCTCTAACGTTACTCTTGTCTAGGTTCACTTAAGCTAGTATAGTAATATAATACTAATATTTTTGTTTCTTATTCCTTTTAGGATAACTGAATTTATACTCTTGTCTAGGTTTACTTAGGGCATGTTTGGCTCCGCAAATCTCTCGATGTAAATTAGTTGCAAAAGTCTGAGATTTGTACAGGCTGGAGGACTCCAAGGACGCGTGCAAAAGTTTCCTGATTTGTATGTAAATTAGACTATTCTGACGAAACAAATGCACTATTGTTTAGCTGGTGTAAAAGAATTGATTTGTTTTGTTATATATTAGTTGGTTTCTGTAGGTTTTGTATATACAACTAATTTTTAGTACTACACTACGATTTATTTAGTTCTATCTAACAAAGTACTTAGCTAAGTAATTATACTCCTTCCATCTTCTCTTTCTCCTTTAAATCTTTGGACTCTTTGACTTATATATATATTTATATTTATTCGTTAGTCGGTACACGTCACATCAAATGACGCTTATTGTTGGTTTTCTTTTGTATTACTAGCTAGCTTCAAGTGCTTATAATTCGCCCACATATAAGTGGAAAGCAAAGAATACGCACCCTTGGTCGTATTAAGCAGCGCGAAAGGAAGCAGCCACAAAACAAAACAAGGGGAACCAAGGGGAAAACAAGAATGAGACGAATAAGGAAGACAAGGAAGTACTATCCTCGGAAAGGTCTCCTGGCTAGTATAGCCTAATATCGGTATCCACCCCCTGCCCTTCAAATATCTCCACCATCTGCCCTGCAACTATATTTCCACCCCTCTTACATTTGTGTAACAAGCATGGGAAACCCTATTTTTTAGGCCAAAACCACACCCAGAGAGCTCTCCTTGCCTAGGAATCCATATGCTATTCCGACCCATATATGCTATCCCGACGCCAGTTCGAGTGCGTCGGTAGTTAAGGATCGAGCTCAAAAAAAAGGAGTGAATCGGGCGTTTGTTCTAGTACTACTACTATCCTTACACCTTTATATTATATTTATTAGATTATCAGATTATAGGAATTATATTAAGGGCTAAATAAAGAATATATATAATATAAAAGAGCTTATAATCTAACGACATAGTAGTAGTATTAGAGGAGTATAGTATTCTAGTAGTAGGGTAAGATATGTATACTACTATAGCTTACTAAGCTACCCTATTCTTATTTACTATGAATCCTATTATATAATACTAATATCTTTATTTCTTATTCCTTTTAAGGTAATGTTGTGCTGGGTCTACTTTCTCTTTTGCTCCACTTCCTGATTTGATCCACTTATAGCTCTGCTGCCTAAATGCTTCATGTCTGCATAAAACTAACACTCTTTATATAAACACCTTAGATAGCTACCTTTTACAATGCAATCAATTCTCCATGACCTTCAGTACCCAATACCCTTTCAACCCAATAGGTAACTAAATTTATACTCTTATCTAGGTTTACTTAAGCTAGTATAGTAATATAATACTAATATCTTTATTATTTATCCCTTTTAGAATAACCTAGATAACTAAACTTATACTCTTATCTAATTCACTTAAGCTACTATAGTAATATAATACTTGTATATTTATTGTTTATCCCTTTTAGAATAACTGAATTTATACTTATAGAGTCTTGTCTAGGTTTACCTGTGACGGTTATGGTCACGAGGGCTGGATGTCACATGCTCGCTTAGCGAGGCGCTAGCGCGCACGACCTGTATTTAGTTCCCAGCTCACTAGAGCTCTCCTTCTTTCCTCGTCTTTTGTCCTAAGAATAGAGTGTTAATTGTTCTGAGTTCTACCTGAAGCACGTCTGTCACATTACCTAAGCTATTATAGTAATATAATACTAATATCTTTATTTCTTATCCCTTTTAGAATAACTAAATTCATAGAATCGTACTCTTATATAGGTTTACTTAAGTTATTATAGTAATAAAATACTAATATCTTAATTGTTTATCCCTTTTAGAATAACTAAGTTTAACGTTCTAAGATTTACTTAAGCTGTTCTAGTAATATAATACTAATATCTTTATTTCTTATCCCTTTTAGAACAACTGAATTCAAGGTCCTGAGATTCACAGTTACTTATTTAGAATCACTCAAAAAACGTACAAAAATTATAATTCACAAGCGAGAAAAAAACCACATCGGTGAATCAGCAACTTAGAGCCAATTCACTATGTCTACCACGCGCCTTGATGAGCACTATCTTCTTGGTAGCAGGTAGCGATAAGCAAGCAGTCCCCTGTGTATTCCTATATCGGCTCCTGCGTCTTTATCATCGTCGCGCGCTAAAATTCACTCGTAACCGATTCCCTACCTACTCCAAAACAAAAAACATCAATATCACTCCAACCCCGCACCACTAAACAACACACCGATCTCTCAAAACTTCTGTAAGTGGAATAAGATCCTCTGCGCATCTCAATTACCTCTGACGCGATTAGCGGGTAGTGCTTCAGATCAAGAATTTCAAATCTACAGGTCGGCGAAGTGCGCTGTGGTGGAGACGCGCACTTCACTCTTCACTCTCACATCGGTACAGAACCTGCTTGACGACTAGGAAGAGAATGAACAGGACGTCAAGATGTGTCTGGAGATCATCTATACGTATCCGTCTTGTACGCATATCCTCAAGATCAGAACGTATACATGCTACCATGCGCGTACCATCGGAGCACTCAACCAAACACCACCTCTTACTACAGCGCCATCTCACACATCACCTTCAGATCGGTCTTCTTCTTTGACAACGAGTGGATATACGACAACAAGCACCAAAAACAAAGGGAAAGGAAAAGAGAAAGAGACTACACCATCAACCCTCCACATCGCATCTTTCCTCCACCGCTCCGCCGTCACTGTCCCATCATCCTCAACCTCACCATTGGCAATCTCCAAAGACACAAGCACATCAAAAGAAGAAGATCGACCACTGACAATCAAGAACCTCCTCTCCAAGAAACACGAAGACAAGGCCGCAGTGCAAGAACCAAACTACTTCTCCCCACAATGCAGTGCATACAGCGTGGTCCAACAAAAGGCTCTCACAGGCGAGAAACGCTGCGCGAAGTGCGAGAGAAGAAAGAGAGCTATGGAGGATGTTGATGAGGATGGGGAGAGATCTGAGGGTTTTATTAAGGTGAGTTTTAAGGGTATTGGGAAGAGGAGGGAGAGTGTGAGATTGGTTGATGAGGCTTGTGAGGGGGATGATGAGGAGATGGAGCGTCGTGGTCGTGGGGGAAGAAGTAGGAGTAAGAGTAAGAGGGCTGCGAGAGATATTGTTGATGAGGTTGAGAGGGATACTGAGGAGGTTAGGCGGTTGAGAGAGAGGGAGAGGATGGATGTGATGAAGAAGGGGAAGGGTAGGGGTTGAGTTGGTTTGTGGGGGATGTGGAGAGTTGTGCCTTGTGAGTTGGGGAGTCGCTGAGGGGAATTGCGGGTATATGGTGTATGTAGTATATGATGTGTTAAGTAGGATATTCTAGGGAAACGGGTTATGATGGGATACGGATGCAAAGTACTGGACGCCAGCTTGGTGGTTGCTGGTAGATACATACAATGAGTTTGTAAGAACTCCCTGAATGCTTGTGGGTAGATAGCCATTACTGGACACCAGCTTGGTGGGTGCTGGTAGATACATACCACGAGTTTGTAAGAACTCCCTGAATGCTTGGAGGTAGATAGCAATGAAAACGATCGTAATTCATCCTTCGGGGTGTTAGATATTTGTTGTTCCTTAAATTGAATGAATAAATTATACTTTTGATATGAATAGAAGTCGCGATACAAACCCCTTTATTGACGACCAAATGATTGCACCTGTACATTACAACCACCATCTTTTCATTCGGTCCGCCGAAAGAGAGTTGGAGAGTCGAACGTCCTGACTTATAGGAAGAAAAGACATGATGTTGCTATCCTAGGGAGAAAGCATGCGGTTGGTAGGATACCGGACTTGAGGGCAAGAAAACACCCCTTTCAAGATATACAGTTGCTCAGGCTGTTTGAGTGTATTCCTTGGAACACGGATGCGATTTAGATAGGCAAATGGGCGATGAGGAGATAGAAGGCTGGATCTAGCTTATTGTTAGCCAGAGTTGTCTCTTTCTATGTTGCTATGGAGAACCTTACAAGGCTAGTAAGCTATTTCCCCCATGTTTCAATACATTTCAAGTATGCTGTGGCAAATATACTAGTCCACCGTCCTGTTAACATTGGCGAAGGAGCATCTGAATATAGCTCGGGGTAGGCATCAAATAGTAGTATGGTAAATTTATGAGTTCTTGAGCTTTGTTCTAGTGATGTCAAACAACCTACTTAAATAATCGAAAGTCCTTTGATGATTAGTCTGATCGTTCCGGACTTTCAGATTGAGACCTGGTGATTAGAAAAGACACTTTGAAGTTTGTTCTATTAGCAGCTTACTCTTTTTCGAGCTTCGGATCTGATACTTCGATCCGATGTCGCAATATGGGGCAAATGAAGAAGAACGTAAAGTCACAGTTTCATGTAATACTGTCTGAAAATAAAATACACCGTTCCCTTCCATCCACTGAGATCATTTATGCCTTCCAAATTCGTTTGATAGCCTCTGTAAGACCAACGTCATTCGTCTCAAACTCATACAATCCAACGCCAACAACGACAGTAGCAAGTCTCAAACCCCAGTCGAAAGTCTTCTTAGTCTTGGGTACCCTTCGATTTGGGAGATAGTCAGTGATTAGTGCATCGAATCCGATATGTGAGTGGAGGAGGATAGTGCCGCATATGAGGGCGTCTGTCATTGGGTTTAATGATCCTGCTGCGAAGGGAGCGATTGTGAGAGGCACGAGTCCCACGGACAAGAGACGTTCGAAAGACCAGTGATATGAACCGTGAGCTGGATTTGATGGTGGGATTTTGGCGGCTTCGTTTGCTGTGAGCAAGTCAGTAGGTTGAAACAATGGATCGTGGACCTGAGGAATGCCGTACCGGTTCCATCAATGCTCTCTGAGGCGTATGTTAGTAATTGCTATCACAGGAGGTTCAGTTGATAAGCTTACGAGGTAGTGGAGGAAGAATTGCTTTTCGCCCACTGGCATGGAAGGCCGCAATGCGCACAGAGCTTGGTGCTACTGTCTTTGCATTCTTTGATAGAGTCGATGATGCTGGCTTCTTGATGGCGGGGAAGGACGACGAAGGCTTTGTCGAGAAGGATTTTTTGGTGGTGAGTCTAAGACATGATTGCCGGAAGACTGCTGGTCGCACAATTGAAGCCATGGCGAAGTTATGTATGGGGTTCCTCGGTGGGGTTGTTGTGATGGGTATCCTCGATCGCAGATTGACTTCTCAGGCGTCGATTTTACCGAGGAAGTTGTTCCGCTATGCGCCGCCCAGAGTAGACGGCGGGAGGGAAGGAGAGCAAGAGCTGGAGTCGGCTTACGTCAACCACATCACCAGCTCCCTGATTGGCTGTATCACTTTCAACCAATCAAATCACCGGAAAAGCAGCTTCGACAAATCTCAAGGAAACCCAACGACATTCAAGCCCGCCTATCCCACGACTTCCAATCCAAGACCTCTCCCACCCTTTTCCCCCACACACAATTCTACAGCTCTGATGGCGTCCCGGCGGCTAGCACTCAACCTTTCAAAGGGTCTGCGTCACCGCGCTGCCCGCGATGTAGTGTCTCCTCTACGAAGGGGTTTTGCGACTCCGGTGGTGAAAAATGGCGTCAAGACAGAAACTACAACCCTCTCCAATGGCTTGACCGTAGGGCTCCCATCGAATTGGCTCGCTTTCCATCCGCTGACGCATGCAGATTGCTTCAGAATACTCCCCTTGGGCGCAGACGTCGACGGTGGGTGTGTGGATTGATGCTGGATCCCGAGCAGAGACAGACCGAACAAATGGCACAGCCCACTTCCTGGAACATCTCGCATTCAAGGTACGGCAGAATTGGGTCAGAAGGGAACTCGATTGGGACTGACAAGGTCTTTAGGGCACTACCAAACGAACGCAGCATCAATTGGAGCTGGAAATCGAGAACATGGGTGGACACTTGAACGCATACACATCTGTACGTTGGGCGGGCTTGGGGAGGAAGAGATTTGCTGATATCACCACAGCGTGAAAACACCGTATATTACGCCAAAGCTTTCAATGCCGATGTACCTGCGACCGTTGACATCCTCTCCGATATTCTCCAAAACTCGAAGCTCGAGCAAAGCGCCGTTGACCGAGAGCGTGATGTTATTTTGAGAGAGTCAGAGGAGGTGAACAAGCAATTGGAGGAAGTTGTATTCGATCACTTACACGCCACTGCATTCCAAGGTCAACCATTAGGACGAACGATTTTAGGACCAGAGGAGAACATTTCAACTATCCAAAGAGACGATTTGACCAACTACATCAAGACCAACTACACCGCAGACCGCATGGTTTTGGTTGGAGCTGGAGGTGTTCCTCATAAACAACTCGTTGAGCTTGCTGAGAAGCACTTCTCCGGCCTCCCATCACAACCTCTTACCAGCTCCGCCGCCGCAGTTGCTGCCGCACAAAAGGCAAAGCCACAATTCGTTGGCTCTGAAATTAGAGTCCGTGATGACAGCATTCCTACTGCAAACATTGCGATTGCTGTCGAGGGTGTGAGCTGGAAGGATGATGATTATTTCACTGCTCTCGTCACACAGGCAATTGTTGGAAACTGGGACAAAGCAATGGGCAATGCTCCTCACATGGGTAGCAAGCTCAGTGGATTTGTTCACCAAAACAACTTGGCCAACAGCTTCATGAGCTTTTCAACAACCTACAGCGATACTGGGTATAAGCCGATCTCTACGTTGGTATCTTAAACTCTGCTAACAATTCCTAGTCTCTGGGGTATCTACCTTGTTACTGATCAGCTTACCCGTATCGATGATCTTGTTCATTTCACCCTCCGTGAGTGGTCCCGATTATGTTATAACGTCACCGAGGCCGAGGTAGAGCGTGCCAAGGCTCAACTGAAGGCATCTCTTCTTTTGTCTTTGGACGGTACCACGGCTGTTGCTGAGGATATTGGACGACAAATTATTACCACTGGACGCCGAATGGGACCAGAGGAGATTGAGAGAGTGGTTGGTGCTATCACAGAAAAGGATGTTATGAGCTTTGCTCAGCGAAAGATTTGGGATCAGGATATTGCTGTCAGTGCTGTCGGAAGCATTGAAGGTCTTCTTGATTACAACAGGTACGTTTTCCTCGTCATTTTAGTCATTCAACAACTAACCATTCTGCAGAATTAGAAATGATATGTCGAGGAATGCATAAGCGTGGTTGTGTTTTGGGTGGTTTAGATTTGGGGGAGCTTGCTGCTCGATAGAGTGTATAATGCCAAAGCGCAGCTTATTGTACACATAGGTTCTATGAAAATTCCCTTGACTGTTTTATTTTGACTTATTGTACATTGGAGAAGTTGGCTTTCGCCGTGACGCGGGCCAACCGACACTATGAACAACCATACTCGACATGACCTTTCAATAACGTCTGGCTTAGAGCTACAAGACAGCATGGGTCTATGATGCTGATGCTTAGCTACCCAGCAGCGTTATGGGCAGCACCATACACGCTAGGGTTGCATTAGCAAGATAGACAGGAAAAGGGGGGGTAAGATTGAAACTTAGACCAGCTAGCTACACTGGGTGCGTTAGGAAATTTGACTACACAGCCAGGCTGGCCCCCTTCACCTGGCGATGGCGCACCAACAGCAGTGATTCTGGTACAGCTGGTTCGCTGCTTCTGGAATGGACCCCCTTGACTGTAATCACCCTATAGGTACACCATCTCCATTAGCATCTTCTCTATCCTCTGGACTGGAGAAGTAGAGTATAAAATTCTTCGAAGTAACCAGAAGTTCAGATTTTCGTTTTTAGCAGAAGAGGGGCGGGGGTGGAACGTACGCAGTAGACGGACCTGGTACATGGCGTGTAACCTTGCCCATCCCAAAGGATTGTATTGTCTTGGGTATAGACAGTGGAGGTTTGCTGGGCTGCTGATACCGTAGTAGCTAGGGAGGCTAGGGTTGTTAGGAGCGCGGCGATTTGCATGGTTGTAATGGATGGGGAGGATGTCGATGGGATTCTGGACGATTGCTTCTTATAAGACCAAGTAAGATGGAACGGGATCACTGGGTCTATATAGTCATCGAGTAATCCTCCCTTACCTTTCGGTCCGGTGTATGGAAGAGTTTGCTCAATTTGATTCACGTCGGGGAAAGGCTATTCGTAACCTTATGGCTTGCCCAGGAATTGGGATTCAGGAGGAAATAGAGTCTATGCGACTTTTCTGAATCTCAAGGGGGTTTTGTTCTGTTGTTAACCTTGGGCATAAACCCTGGGAAGTTACCTTTACTTCGTCTGTCAGGGTGCTCCATACTATTTAGAGTTCTGCACTCTAATATGAATACTAACTTGTAACGAGCGAGACGAGAAACGTGATGTTTGGCTGTATACTGAGTTTTGGGGATATACTAGTATAACTTTAGATATGGTTATCTGGCTTTATTTGATTAGGTATGTAGGTACTAGGATGGTATAAAATAGAAAGGATGTGGAATTTGTGTTGGGCGTTTTGCGCAGGATTGTTATATGGTTCTGTAACTCGCTTATTTCACCCAAGGTATCCATTACTAGTGTTTACATATATCTATATACAAAAACATGAAATTCCTTCTTCAGAGACCTCATACGTGCACGTCATAGGCGCGTAAAAAACTATAGTTCGAGTATCTATATATAGTATATTTTCCACGTCTTTATAATAGAGAAAACTTCTTATTTAAAACGGTTTTTGATTCCGGTATTATCGAGTATGAATTCGGTAAGCGAGTAGAGTTTTACTAGGTTTTGTGTATTCTAGAGTACGCTACTAAATACAGTGAATAAATTGTACTTTACAAAACTGAGCCGAACAGGCCGTAAAAGGATGTAGTAATAACTATGCTATAGTGTTATCTACGTTTACTGCGCTATTCAGTTCCCAAGGATGTCCGGAATTTGCTTGAAAGTATATAAGCATTCGTATGCTTCTAGTTTCATACTTCCACTATATAAATAAGAGGCTATATGGTACAAAAGGCTTGGAGGCACAGCAACTAAATATCAAATTAAAAGCGTTCACTAGAAAGTAGATGTATGTTCTTGTGTTGAAGTACGGATATTTGAGAGGCTTTTGAACGCCTTCTTCACTTAAGGCGTAATTTGTCGAAAGGTCGTTTTGAGCCATTCAGTTGCTACTTTCTTTACAGATTCCCTAACATTTAAGTCTCATGTTTCCTACAGGTAATAATAGGCTTTCTTCACTTGACATAAGGTGTTAGGGAAAGGTTTTACTCGTATTTGGGATTTTTCTGTGAAGAGAGACTCAATTTGTAAGCAAGATAAGTGGTGTAAATGAAACTAGTTTCAAGTTTGGACATTGTTTATACTGTAGGTAATTGAAGCCCAATCCATGGGTACTTGTATATGAGGGTGTATGATCAGCGAAACTAACATTTAGAACGATTCATTACCCGGCTCTTGGTAGGGGGCTTCATAGCCATATTATTTTATATTCTAACTTTGATTGATTTTGTATTCTTTATATTGTTGGAGCTGGTCTTGAAAGATGTCTACTTTAGCGCCTTTTTCTTAAAGCCGAAATGCTATGTGTATATCTGAGCATTGTGCACCTTAATCGGCAATAGCCGAGCATGGAACTTTCCCCATTCGGCCCGGGGTCCAAGCCCACGGCATGATCTCGTGTTTAGTTGGCGTTACAGGTTACAGGCCAGCACGCGACTTCCTCAACCTTCACAACCACTTACATCTTCTGCAAACGCATCGCATTCTTGACTGGACTTGAGGGAACGCATGAGTCTTTGCGACGGATTTCTTTCTCTGGAATTGATGCTCGATTGTCTCGGGAAGAGGCTCAATCAATCCGTTTCGTGTCATAGAATCTCCAGCCGCACGACAGGTGCAAACGGGCACAGGTACAGTATTCTCGGTCTCAGAAGAGGCCAATTGATTGCGCATGCTCATTCTGATGCTGACCACTTCACTGCCAGTAGCTTCTCTCGAGTGCGCTGGGCACAACAGACCACCGCGCAGACAGTTGAATCACCATGGCTATACTGGAAGAAGCTCCCGGACTCTCTGTTGGCTTAATTGTAGACGGCCAGCCAGCCGTCGAATATGATGATGACGACGAGGTGGGAGTTGGAGGTGATGTTTCCGAATACAAGGCTTCCGTCACTAGGTCCAAATACGTCGAGTCTATTTCAGAGAAGGAGTATGCTGTGGAAGTGAAGTTTGATGCGGCTTTTGACTTCAATTGCCCTTCACTTTCGTGCTGGGTCACAATTGACGGTACAAACAAGGTCGGAAAAATACTGAAAAAGGAGAACAAGCTTGTGCTCATCAAGGGTCTCGAGAAGAATGCGGGTGGCGGTCGTGGGACTTTGAATAAATTCAAATTCGCTAAAATAAGTCGGTTTCTATGTTCCTCAAAACTCACGTTTGTATTGCCGACTCTAACGGTTTCGCAGATATCGATGAAAACAACGTTCAGAACATCCAGAAAGATTCCAAGCGTGTTTCCAAGCTTGGCGAAATCGTAGTTGGATTTTGGCGAGCCTCAACGCCTATTGATACTCCCCCAGATGAGGTGACCAAGCCGCCCGGAAAAAAGCTGGCTGATGTTACGAGTGTTCATGAGAAGGCGATGAAAGGCCAGGCCAAGTCCCATAGTACCCTGTGAGTGTTTCTACTACTCCATACCCGACTTTCTGACTGGCCCTAGTTTTGCGCCGCCTGTTGCAACCACCGTGCGCTATTCTCGTGTCCAAGAGTTGGATGGGATAGATCATCCTTTAGCAATCTTCAGATTCAAATATCGATCGAGAGGTATATACTGAATATGTATATCATTGAAATTTTGATGCTGACCATGAGCTATAGAAGCGCTTAAACAATTACTAGTTCTTCCTCGAACGCCATCCCCAGAACCCCAGGCCACGCCTGCTCCAGTTGATGTAAGCGGTGTGGACCTCGAGGCACTAGATGCCGAGCAGAAAGAGCAGCTCCAGAAGTTCTTAAAAGACCTGACCGTATGTATTACTCGGAATCAAAAACTCTCGATTTGTGTTAACGTTTTTATCCTGGCAGGGCGCAAATTCATCAGCGCGCATCAAGCGGGAACGTGAGGAGGGCGGGAACGGCGAGGGCTCACAAAAGAAGAGAAAGTCGGGGGAGAAGATCACTATTGATCTGACTGCCGATTCTGATGAAGAAAATTAACTAGGCTTGACATTTTTCCTTTTTACCTTTGCAGTCAAATTATGTTTTTCTTTTTTTGAAGGATTTGGGGGGTTTCGGTGGTTTGCACTTTCGGCTATGGCCCATATACCCCTGGAGAAATTAAGGAGAAAAGGATGTAGGCACAACTTGGTGACGGCATATCTAGCTTTGGCGCTTTACAATTTGCTTTCTAGATTGCAATGTATTTATGCATAGCTGTTCTAGCAGCTAGAGAGAAATTGAGCACAATTAAATACCTTCACGCGATATATCCTCTAACATCAGTACGAACCTTTTAGTACTTTCGAGTAAGAGTCTACCTAGTAAGTTAGATGTACATATCGCCATCCTAATCCGTCTATCTGACTAAGTAACAGGAAGCTTAAAGCTTAGAAAACGGAGTTCCGTAATTAGTCGAGACTAACTATTCGTATATACTATATGTAGTACATAAACTAGGTTATAACTAAGCATTGAATAACCAAATTACACCGTACTAATTCACTTTCTTCTCATCACATCTCACTTTCTTTCACAACCAGCTGAGCTCTCTCTCTCTCTCTTGTAGCCAAAAAACCCGTGTCGCTAAGCCATTTTGAATTTAGAAATTCTAAATTCTAGAGCCTCGTTTATCCCTTGGAATCTTCCGTCTCGGAATGGAATAGAATCGTCTTCCAAGTACCTCACGGCATTTTTTGAGTGGGTACAGTATTATATCTTCTACATATCCCTTACTAAATATAAAAACTATACTAATAAGAGATATAAAACCCTAAACTATATCTTCTTCCTTTACTTTTATATTATCTATATATAATATCTCTCCTTCTATAGTAGATATATTCTTCTTTTTATAAGCTATAAGGCTACGCGAGGATCTTGAACCTTTAAGTAGTAATATATTAGAGTAATTAGATTTAGCTAAAGAATCTAAAAAAGACTTAGATAACCTAATAATTATAGAAGGCTTTAAAATTCTTGAATAATACTCTAATTTATAATAATTATAAGATACTACTATACTAAGAGGAGTATAATCTAAGACCTTAAGACTTTATCGAAGTAGATAAGAATAACTAAAACCCTAGTCTAAGGACTATACTTATACTAAACCCTCTAACTTAATACTAGATACAAATAATATTACCTCTAAATTCCTACGTTTAAATATAATAAAATCTCTCTACTATAACTATAATAAGTATTTACCTAAACTCTCGAAGTTTTTAACTTCTATAGTTATAAATATAAATTACGATTATAAGGGAATAGAATCTTAATAATAATAGTAGATTCTTACTTTAATAATCTCCTAACTATTTTATATCTATAGTACTAGGTTACGTAAACTCTAGACTTAGAATAGAATAATACTTTAGTTACTAGGTACTAAGTTATTAGTTTAACTCTAAGTTAATAGAGCCGAAAGATAAGTAATGTAACCGTGTGGAGTGAACCACTGCTTGCTGTGATGAATACGGAGTCAAACGGAAACTGCTGTATTGAGCGAACAACAAAGTGAGGAAGGAAGAGAGTTCCAGAGGAACGAGAGCTTAAATACAGGATGCCAGCAGCGCGCACGTGACACATA